GGGTACGGACACCGGGACACACCCGGAGCGTCTGCACGAGCAGGGGCACTGCACACACACACACACACACACACACACACAGACAGACACACAGACACACACAGACACACACACACACAGAGACACACACACAGACACACAGACACAGACACACAGACACACACTGGGGAGCAGGGGAGGGAGAGAGCACTCTGCCCTCCCGCTCAGACAGACCCAAAACAGATCACCCAACAGCTCCAGGGAGGGTGAGGCCCTGGCACAGCTACCCCAGAGAAGCTGTGGCTGCCCCATCCCTGGGATGTGCCAGTGGCTTGGAGCCACCTGGTCTACTGGAAGGTGTCCCTGCCGTGGCAGGGGCCTTGGCGTGAGATGGGCTTTTATTTCAGATGGTTTCCAACCCAAATCACTCTGTGATCCTGTGAGTCGAATTATGAAACTCACCTGGGAGATGGAAACCCACATTCTGCTAATTTGAAACAGAGGCCTGAATTCCCCACCAGGGGAAAGCAGTCCTCTGCAGCCTCTGAGCTACTGTGTATTTTTGGGTATCTCTATCTAAAAATCTTTCTTTCCTTTAGTGTCTTGTGATTCTGAGTATCTCCCTTGTCTTTGTGTGCATCCCATAGATGTTGGAATTCTGGTATTGCATTTAGATCTCATCCTCTAAATTTTGAGAAAAAGTGAATGTGTTCTGTTTTGTTGTAATTTACAGACATTAGTTGTATTGAAATTGTGTCTGTGTAATGTGAATTTCAGTATACTGAAATTAGGTATTTATTTATTGAAAATGCTCAGTGGGTATGTTGCAGCTTCAGTCAAAGTTCACGAAATCTGGCATTGCCTAAAAAAAGCCTGTAATGTTATTTAGCTTTGCACTTAGTAGGAGACAATGTAACGGGGATCTTAACCATAAAACAGTGGTACGGGGATCTTAAACAGAAGCCGATTTAAAGATTATTGGGGACATGAAACAATTTGAAGGGGATCACCAACATTCAAATATTTAATGGGGATCATCATCACCATAAAACAATTTAATGGGGATTCTAAACATTAAACCATGGGGATTGCCAACATATACTCTCTGTAAATAACTTTTGGGAGTATTTGTTCCCATTCAGGTTCTGCCTTTTCCTTCAGGCCCTCTGTACTCCAGGTACAAAAAAGGATTATGTGGCCATATTTTTAAGATACAGAAATTATGTGGAACAACATATGTCAGTATTAACTGAGTACAAATTAGTCCCTACACAGATTAAAGTTTCCTAATGTTTTTATGATAATACAAAAGGAAATGGCAAGTTCTCAACCATTCATCTCATAGTCAAGTTAAATATTTGAAGGGGAAAATAGATCTTTAAAAAATAAAAATTCCTTCTTAGAAAAAATTGACTATCACCAGGTGTTCTAACTGGTATCTTTGCTGAGGGTATAAACCCCAATTTATGCTGTTTTGATTTTAAAATTAATTATGTATCTGGGACCATGGCTCCTTAAATGAAACCATAATTTTTCTATTAAATGCTCAGACAGTGGAGGGAAGTGGCAAGTGTCTTGAAAAGGGAAGTTTTGTGCTAGTGTTATCAGTATTGTGTGATTGTGATGTAAAGTGGTGTGAAGTGTTAGTATTATTGTTTGTGTTACTGTTACAAGTGACCTTCAAAGGAAAAAGCTTTGTTCTCTTGCTGTTGTTATGCTGAATAAATAAAAGTTATTTTCCCCCTCTGAGGGAACATGGAAATAAGCACATGCTTTTATTCACTACTCAGGAAATGATGAGTCATTGCAAAAGGTACTCACTCACAAGTGTTTCTCAGGCTGCCTCTGTACAAGAAAATGGGAACAGTTACTTCGATCTAATCCAATACAGCTAAATTTGTCCAGAGTATGGTGCGAGAGAGGCTCTCTCCACCTGCCGGAAGCTTCCTGCGGCTCCACTTGTGGAGCAGAGATGCACTTGTGTTGTCTTTGAAGCCTGACTCCATGACATTTCCCAGGCACGGCGATGTTCTTTTCAGCAGAGCGCGGTCAGCCTGACCCGAGTGCTGGTGTTAAATCCTGGGTGAAAAACAAGCCTTTTCGGTGTCCTTGGCTGCACCGCGGCTCGGGGGGGGAGCAGCGCTGCGGCCCCACGGTGCCAGGGCCCCCCCGAGGCGCGGCGGTGACACCGCCCTGAGCGGCAGCCGCACACGGCCAGGGCAGGCAGGACTGCAAAGCCACCTGCCGGCTGCGGAAAGGTGGGAAACAATCCGCGACTCTCCCTTCGTGTTCCCTGCAGAACGCTGAGAGACCGCACAGTGAAAGGAACTTCAAAACAAATGGTGGAGGCTTCACAAAAAGCAGTGATTACATAACAACTCCCATTATTTTGGTTTAAGGGATTTAAGAGCAGCAAGTCACTACACAAAAATGTCATAAACTAGCAGTTTTCAAGGTTGTATTTAAGGTGCCATGTTCAAAGTATAGCCTTCAAAATATCTTTCCCTGCACATTTAATTTGGTTTCGCTTTTAAGGAGTAATTGCTTTGTTGTGATCTTTGTCTTTTACAACTGCACAGCACTTCTAAAAGAATATTGCCATAATTTGATGCAGCTATACAAGAAAAACAGTAAACTAAGTAGGCACTAAATTTCCTTTCTTCTCCTCATCAATCCCATGTAAGACTTTTATCTCTCTGCATGCCATACACAGCACAACTAGCTACTTTCCCAACTAAAGCAAGGGGTTTATCAATATTCTTACATTTTCACTGTAAAGTAATACTGGCACTGCACTAACTTTGAAGAAATCAGGTTTCATAACAAAACACCTTAAGGAAGCTCAGGGGGAGGTTTCAGAATCAAAGGGATAAAACTCCAGTTGTCATCACTAAATATTCCCATAAAACACCCAGCTGTCAACCCTCTTGGAAAGACAATGGGTCTTTTACTCCTGTATACCTGTTGGCCTGTTTTGTGAAAAAGCTCCCCAACATTGAGATAAATACACACACATATATATGTCTACATCTAAATATGCAAAATTCCTGTTTTTCAGCAGCACCTGTTACCTGAGCCAGGCATCTCCTGAACTGATGACGCAGGCAGCTGCAGAGCTCCTGTTAATCCAGGGGTTTTGTCCCAAAAATTGTGGCCAGCTAGTTAAAAATGATGCTGGGATCTTATGCTGAACATCAGAGAGATTTTCTAGAAATATACACGAGGCTATTTGTTCTCACGTTCCTGAAACTCAGACACAGAGGCACGCTGGGGAACTGCAGTGAATTCCTGTATTTTTTCCCCGAAAGCGTCAGCGACTTTGAACGTTTTCATGCGAGTTTTGCAGGCAGAGTGAGTTACAGCCTGCCTTCTCTCAAAAACATCTTGGTTCTTAAAAATAAACCTGACCTGTACATGTATGTTAAAGCCACATTAATGTCTCCCTGCCAGGCCCACAGCAACACATTTTATTTTAGGAGAGCATTTGAATAAACACAGAGAAACAAAATCAGATGAATTTATTCATGTGCAAGTCAGACTAGACTGACAAAAACAACTTCACAGAGGACTAGCAAAGATACATAGGTAAAATTACTTACAGAAATTCATATATATAGAATAATCCATACAGAATAATCATATTCACCACATAGCCATTTCCTGCTAATCCAAATGATGTCTTCTTTAATTTTATCTGATTATCCTGTTTACTGATATCCACATATTGCTCAGATAAATACTTCTTCCTTAAAAATACTTCTGGCAGTTGCTGATGTTTTTTACTTAATAGTTTAATGAGTTTTAACAAATCCCAGTACTTCAGGTGGGAACTGGTCAGTGGGAGGATTTATAAACAGCAGAAAAATGTGTGCCTGTGGTCCCAGAGAGGCCTACCATTGAGAGATGAAATCCTGCACATCAGTGAATGCAACTGCCTGCAAAAAACCACAACTGAAGAATGAATTGCTTCTCCAAACTCACTGTAGAAATCAGACAGCCAAGACTGACCCTTTGGTGGTTACTGCCACTCATTTTATGGGTGATTAAATTAAATTAAGTACTCTGCTTAGTTATCCCAAGTATAATCAGGTAGTTTTCTTCCTTATGTGGAACAATCTTTTCCTAATTGTTGGCCAAGCACACCTTAGTAGATGACCAAAATGAAGAAAGCCCTACCCCTCAATAAGAGAGAACAACTATTAGATAAATCTCCCAAAGGAGTTGTAGATTACAAAAGGGAGTCTTGAATTTTAGTGTGAGATCACGATAATTCAAAATGTAGGATTAAGAAATGTAACTAACTCTTTTATCACAGCTGTACCATTGCCATGTAAGAGCCAAAAATTACTGTAGTTTACTTTAGTACTAACAGCCTGTAAAGTGCTGTGTACAGTATCTGTTAGGTTAACAGATGAGTTAATGAAATTCCCATAGGAACCATGTGAGAGGAATGGGAAAGGAGGACAAGAAGGTGACAAAGTGATGCCTCTCAGAGCATTAGCTGTTACTCAGAGGCTCAGATGTCCTCTGTGATTGTGGCAGAAGCCTTTGGTTTTTCTGCTATCGTTTGTGGTGTTTGGCAGAAGCCAATCCCCCAGGGTCGGTGTCTCAGTCCATGTGAATTTTGGGGAATTGCAGCAGCAAAAGAGGCAATAAATGGCTTTAATGAACCAGGTCAGGCTCTTCCTGCAGGTGGCTAGCAGGGGTTTAGCTTTTATCTGGGAAATTTCCACTGTGGAGAATTCTGAGAGCTGCAGGGCCGCACGGGCCCAGTGAGAGCTGAGCCACCATCACTCACCTGAGGGCCTGAGAGCCATGGGGAATGTCCCTGCAGCCCTGATGGGGACAGCCCAGAGCAGGGACAGCCCTGATGGGGACAGCCCAGAGCAGGGACAGCCCTGATGGGGACAGCCCAGGGGTGGGCACAGCGCTGTCCCTGCTGCCCACACCCAGCCCAGCTCAGCACCAGCCAGGGCTGCTCGCTGGCCATGGCACTGCCTGGGCACGGTGACCACGGGCACGGTGACCACGGGCACGGTGACCACGGGCAGAGCAGCTGGCAGTGCCATCCTCCCCTCCTCGAGTGTGGCTCCAGGGTCCCACACCACAAGCAGGGCCAATGGGGAAGGCACTGCATTTCTGTTTCTGCACAGTGCCAAACCAAAACTCCCCCAGTAACCACAGGCGTGCTCAACACGGCCCTTCTGGCAAGGAAATTGCATTTCTTTGAATAAAATATCCTCACATTTGAAGGGGTTTACAGTTTAAAGCACTATAGGGTCAGGCATTGCCTGCTTTGCATCTACTATTCTATTCCAATGGCTTTTTTGAATTCAGAATTTTGTGGCTCAAAAATGTCATAATAAACCCTACTTTTATCAAAATTTTCTCGGATGAGAAGCAAGTCTTCTACAGAATACACATCCTCCTTTCCTGTCCAAACAGTGAGGCTGTACCTATGTCCAGAAACAGGGAGAAAACAAACAAAACAAACAGAAAAAGAGTATGTTAAGATAAAGCATGTAAACCAGAAAGACATTGCACTAAAACAGACTCCTAAAAATACTCAGGATTACAGCATCATAACTTTAGAAATGTAATTAAATACAAACAACTGCACCCCCAATTTATCTGTGATTGTTCTGCCAAACCTCAGAGGGATTTAAATAAAAAAGCTCAGGTAAATATCCAGCAACAAAATTTGCCAGACTGAGCATTTAAGGTTTGATAAATTAATCAATAGTCATAAGCTGAGCCTCAAAACAGGAAATATGATGCAATCCCAGACACAGGTGATTGTTGTGCTTTGTCACATCAGCAATGTCTAGAGATGCCACCTAATCCAATTCTCATTAACTGCACACAACTTCTCAAAAAGCACTGAAATCCCCCAAAGCATTATTCAGCTAAAGCATTATTTCCACATCCTCCACATGACATATACTTCGTTTTTCCCTTTTGTTTAATAGAACTGTATTAATTTTAAAAATGGATAAATGAACATTCAGTTGTATGGGAGCAAAACTGGCTCAGGAATTTCTGTCTCTCTTCTAATCATGCCACTGAAGAACCCCCCTGACTTTTATGAGGAGGTAAAAGAGAAAAATCCCAGTACTTCAGTTGGAATGTTTGTTTCCATTGATATTTGAGACTGACAAAATTCAGAAGATACATTCTTAGTGCAATAACATTTTAAAATCAATTTCCCATGAATTTAACAATTTCTGTCTTGAGTGTTCATCATAAAAAAGAATATCAGCATTTAATTTGTTCACCCTGTTTTTCTGAATAATTAGAAATTTTTCAGAGATGCCCTTAAGTTTTCTGTCTTGAGCTTTGACCTTGGTTGGAACAGTTTTATTAAACTCTGGGTAGGCACAGCAGTTGAAAAAGATGAGTAAATGGCAATATGTGGGAAGCTGTTTTTATTCTCATTCTATTACATGTGAATAATTTTTATAATTAAATGCTTAAGGGTTGGTAAGAATGATTTTGAAAGAAAAATGTAAGTTCCTGTATGAAAACCACTGAATACATTTCAAGTGCCTCAGTAAAATTAATTAGCATGGAGGGAAACACCTGACTTCCAATTTAGAAATCATCTTTGACATTTCTCAAAAATGCTACAAAAAATATAAATAGCGAACCCAATACAAAGTCTTTGGATTGGATGAATTCCCAATTGCTACATCAAACTATTTAGTCTATTTAACTATATTCATCTCAGGAAATGTTTGCAGCACAGCCGGGTTCCACAGCTATGCACCATTTAAAAGTCCTCATAGTAGGTAATGAAAAATAAGCTTCTGGAATTTAACTACTTCAGAGAAATTAATAGTGACCACTTCTGTCTGAGGACTCCAACGCTTGGAGGCCTGTGGGAAATGAAGCGCTGGGAGAAGAAGAATTTCCGCATTTCCAATGCCTCTGGGCTGAGTGTGACACAGGGCTGCTGGGGACGGGCCAGGGCCCAGGGGCTGAGGGGTGCACAGGGAGCAGCACTGACCTGTGGCACTGCTGCAGCAGCCACTGCAGCTGCTGGAGGGAGCCGGGCACCAGCGCAGCCCTGACCGCGAACGTCACCGGCTGGGACAGCGCGCGGCACAGCTGCCACATCTCCTGCACCACGGGCCACTCGTAGCCTGGGGACACACAGAGCACTCACAGAGAGCCCCTGGGGACACACAGGGCACTCACAGAGCTCACTCAGAGCCCCTGGGGACACTCAGAGCTCTCTGATCCTGGGGACAGACACAGTCCCGCGCCCCTGGGGTCCCTTGGACACACAAAACCTGCACATCCCCTGTTCCTGAAAACCACACAGTGCCACCCCGAAACTGCTGCGTGGCTCTGAGCAGCAAATGCCCCAGAGGAAAAATGCAATAAATGCACTATCAACATGGGAAATGAACTTGCTATGAAAACCTTTATTTCCCATACTTAACATACACGCTTACTTACTTTACATACAGCTCTACAGAACGTGGCATTTTTAATGTATCTTTGTCCTTTCTCTAAAAAATTCTCCTGCCACTGACTTCAATATGGCCTAGTTTAACTTTGTTGGGGACCCTTTAAAAATGAAAACATTAAGAAAAAATTAGGACAAAAACTTAAGTTAATCCTAGGAATGAAGATGTACACAAATCAACACACATGGACAAAAACATTCTGTGCCTAAAACTGCTACAATCAAGCAATCTAAAAGACTAAAAGTGCCTTTCCTGGGGTTTTTATAAGGACTGGAGCTATTTCAAATTAAATTTACTGTTCTTTTGTTTCTACAGGCTATGAAAATCCTATAACAACAGTTAATAATTTTTTCCTCCATTACTCAAATGGAATGCAGTGACTAGAAAGAGTAAAAACACTAAATATTAAAAAAAGTTTTCTGGGCCAAGCAGCAACCTCTAGGTGAAATCACTCAGATGAGCTAGTTTTCTTAAGTTTTATAGTAGAACCTCACTTAGTATTTCCATAAACTGGAATTTGGAATGGAGATGAAGTGAAATTTGTTTTCACAGGTTACCCAGTATTTCTAATGCATTTTCCAGCAATTTTTTCCTGCACTGAAAATACCTGGGAGAAAGCACTGAACACTTTAATAACACTGCAGTATATCATACAACAGAATACTAAATCTTGCTAATGAGTAAGTAGCAATGGGAGTAGTGTATAATCCTGACACAGTGGCCCCAGACAATATTGGAGGGGACTCTACTTCTCATGAGAATTGCAAGAGGAAGCCTGTGAAAAAGACCCTCTATTAATGAAAATTGAAAAGCTAACTCCAAAAATTCAACTTTCCAAGAGAAATGAAATGTGAGGGATAAGGCTGACCCACGATTTGACTTCAGTGATCAAAAAAAGCAGAGATAAAGTTCCACATTTTCAGCTGAGCTGTTTTTCCTCAGGATTCATGCCATCCGACCACCAGATCAGTGCTCCCAGGATTCAGGGACAGCCCTCCCTGAAACAGAGGCTAAGGAGTTTGTCCCTCAGAAGTGCTGAGAAGGAGCTGAAGCACAAACCAGCTTATTTTAGGAACAAAAAGATGTGGTTTTCACCCATCCGTGCTGCCACTGCAGCACTGGTCTGACTGCTGCACAGTGCTCTGTCCAACACCACAGCACAGGACAGGGTCCCCACAGTCACTGCAGTTCCCAGCCAAGGACATGGCCTGGGGCTGCAGCACAGGAAGCACAGGAGCCCTGCTGCCCTTACCTTGCCCTCGGTGGCAGCCCGTGGTCCAGCCCAGGGACAGGGTGCCATGGGGGCAGGAGGAAGTGACGGCGCTCAGGAAGGCGCGGGCGTCCAGCGGCGCGCAGCTCCCGCAGGGCCCCGGCAGGATGTCCCCGTTCAGCCACACGGGTCTGTCCAGGGACTGCCCCGCCTGCCCCAGCAGCTCCAGGGAGGGTCCCACGGCGGCCAGGCTGTGCAGGACACAGGGCAGGGTCAGGATGGCAGTGTCACCCCAGTGTCACCCCAGTGTCACCGCAGCCTCTGCAGGGCGCACCCAGCGCCCGCTGCCATCCCCTGACTGCCCCTGCAGGAGTAAAACCCCAACTCCCACCCCCTGCTCCCAGCACCTCCTGGCCTCACCTTGACCCCCTGACCTTGCCACCTCTTCATCTCAGGCCTGAGAAGGGTTTTAACACGGGAAGCCACTGCAGTCTCTAACACTTGTGCTGCATCAGCCACAACTGCTGCAAATCCAGCCCAGAGAGTGAAAGCCATCTGTCCCCACCTCAACCACACTCAAAGTGGAAAAGATTTTATCATTAGGCAGATCCAGACTCAAAGCTACCTTCAGATGCATGCAAGGTGATGCACCTGTACTAGGGGAATAAAAGGCACGACACAGACCAATTTAAGGCAACTAAAAGAGAGAAAAGGCACCCACTTGAACATTTAACGCCTGGTTGTGGTTTGTCCCACAGCTCCTAAGTGTGTCAGCACACAGAAGCCTGCCTGTCCAGTGATCATCTGACAGATAATTATTGAATTGTTAAATATGAGCTGCCATCACTTGAGGAACCAGTGCAGACACCCTGTGAGCATTTAACACAACCTATGCTCACATATTCCTACTGTCCTGTCCAGCCACAGGAAAAAGCACAGCTAGATTTTTCCTACCAAAACTTTCAAAGCACTGAGGAAGGAAAGGAGATGGGGAACAGTGGGGAAAAGAAATGAACACCAAGAAAAAAAATCTTCCTTCTGTCATAGCCCATTAATTAATGCACTGTGTAACATCGAGGAATTTAAAATCACTATGGTCAGAGTTTTGGAATTAGGTTAGTTCAGTCCCCTGAGCTGCTTGTCTTGTTTCCTCTGTAGAGTCCCTTTGTGTATTTTGCCTTTTGTGCTGTTGGGAAGGCTGTGCAGAGGCAGGAATTCCACTCACTGAGATGAGCTCGGGCTCTGTAGGAGAAAAGCCAGTGATGGTGTTAAGGTGTGGGCTGCAGCATTCCTCACAGTCTGGGGCCAGAACAGCTGATATCCTCACATATGCAAGGGACTGTCAGGGCCAGAGGAATCCCTCCCCTCCTACTGCAAAGCGTAAGGTGAGAAAAAAGCACAAAGCAAATGGCAACACAGGGAAAGAAAGGGAAAAAAAAAAAAGAGAGAAGAAAAAACCAAAAACCAAATCAAAACAACAACAACAACAAAAATCCACTCCCAAGAAACCACAAACCCCAGAGCACTGGTTTTGTTGCACAGCATTCAGAAAACTTAGACTTACAGCTGACTTCATGTGAAATGACTTTGGCATTTCTGAACTGGGACACTGAAGACCTTTTGCAGAATACATGAATTTCAGTAGCCAAAGCCAGCAGGAAATGTAATTATGTGGTCAATCAGGCTGATAGAGCAGAAATATAAAAAAAGTACATTTTAAAAGCACCATTGAAATAAATCTCCAAAACTTCAGCAATGGCATCCAATTAATTATTATGCAAAGGAACATCAAATTCTATTACCACTAATTTGACTCTATCTGCATTGTGTGATGTACTTCTAAATGTTTTTATACAATAGTTCTTTTATAATGCCATGTACTTTTAAAAGTTTTCTTGAATCACTCCACTTGGCTGTAAACTCGATGTGGAAAAAAAATGAAAGGAAGGTAGTTTAAAATTCATTTAAACAATAATTAAAATGGAGGAGAAACTTCACCAAAAGTCACAAGAAATAAGCCCAAACAAATGCCTACTGCTGCTTTTCCCCTCCTCTGCCCAGAAGGACACACACAGATCCTGTGACAATAAAAGGATTTAGCCTGCCCACATTTTTCACTTTTATGAACTTTCACATGAAAACCGTGACTGTGTAACACAGAACCACAGGCATAAATCACATTTTACAACTATCTCGTGGGGGGTTTCTGCATTTCTATGGAGTCCTTAAGCAGTGATGAAGCTCTTTGTAATTTGCTGCTGAAACAGACTGAGCACACGGACACTGAGACAAAGCAAGAGTCAGCAGCTGAAGGGGTTCATGCCTGGAAGTTCATTTCAAACTCTTCCAAGGCAATCTCATGGGGCTTTCAGGCATGTTTGCCCTTCAAGAAATGAAACAGCTAATGGCTCAAACTGTGACTGAACCTCTGAATGTTTACTTAGTAAGGGCAGAGAAAGGAGCCTTCCAAAGAGGCACCAGCATTTCACCTGCCAGATGGGAAAGTTCTGCTCACAGCACCTAATTCACTGAGCAAAACCAAAATCACTACTTGTAGCTCAAAACTCTTTTAGAGGTTTTGTTCTTGCCATGCTTTGAGAATTATGGACTATGTTTCCACATGGATTAAGCTTCTGAATGCTAAACTGCACAATAAGGAGGAGTTTGGTTGACAACGAGCTGCACAACTGCAACAGGTAAGAATGCAAACAACACAACAATCCCTTGGTTGAGATACCTCTTAAAGTCGAGCTTGATGCCTTTGTTGGTGCTGCCCATCTGTGCCAGCCACTCCTGCAGGGTGATGTCGCTGTCAGTGTCCGGGGGATGAGCCAGGATGGGCTCCCTGTCCCCTCCCCGGAGGACAACGTCCACCTCCACCATGTGCACATCGCCTGGGGGTGAGAAATCACAGCTCAGCTTTCGGGGCTTCAGGGCAACAACGACCCAGCAACCCTGTCCACAGCAGCCCTGCAGCCTCACTCCAACGGGAACTGCTCTCTGGGACACAAGAGATGCCATTCTGGGGGGCTCCCAGCCTCTAAACTCTTTGCAAGCCTTCAACCAAGTGAAAATTGATGTTTGAGGGGGCATTTGGCCAAGCAACAACGTGGGTTTTTTTTCTTCACGAGAACAGATAAATGGACATCCAACATGTGAATCCACTGGTGTTACATTTCACATCTTTTCCTCTGTAACTAGGGTTCCTGAGAGAGGAAAGATGAGTGCAGGATTTAATACTGGCAGAGAATGAGCATTCCCCTTGACTCATTGCCAGAACCGACAAGGAAAATGTTAGCTTACACACACGACAGGCAAAGAGGAGTCTCAGGAGAGCTCAGGCTCTTGAAAACAGCTTTATGTAATGAATCTGGGCAGTGCTACCAGCTTTGCAGAGGGCCCTAAACACACAGTGATGGCTGAAATACAAAGAAAAGAGCTACTGATGGTATTCAGGATAAAGGATATCATATATACATTTATGCAAATATGTGTTTGGCAAATATTCACATAAATTTACACACAATTCACTGCCACCCAGGCTGGTGCACCAGGGCCCTTCTGGCTCTGCACAACCTTTCCTTGAGAGGAGAAAGGGGGGATTTGGGACTTCAGCCCAGGGAACAGGGACAGGAGCAGAGGGAACGGCCTCAGGCTCGGCCGTGGTGGGCACAGCAGGAATTTCCCCATGGAAAGGGGGCTCAGGAACTGGAACTGCCCAGGGGGGTTTGGAGTGCCCGGCCCTGGAGGGATTTCACAGCCGTGGGGATCCTGGAGGAGAGAGGGGAAGAGGAGGAGGAGGAAGGGGAGGAGGAGGAGGAGGAGGAGGAAGAGGCCTGTGCCTCACTCACTTCGCGCGGCCTCGGCGGCCCGGGCCCGGCTGTTGGCGGCGTGGAACCAGCGCACGGCGGCCCCGTCCCTGGCCGCGATGTGCCCGGTGCGCAGGAAGTGATCCACGGGCCACTCGCTCCAGGCGCCTGCGGGGACACGGCGGGGACACGGCGGGCAGCCCTCACTCAGCGCGGCCCCACACAGCCCCGGCCCAGCCCCGGCCCCGGCCCCGGCCCAGCCCGGCCCTGACAGCCCCGGCCCAGTCCCAGCCCCGGCCCTGAGACAGCCCCGGCCCAGCCCCGGCTCTCACAGCCCCGGCCCCAGCCCTGACAGCCCCGGCCCGGCCCCAGCCCGGCCCTGACAGCCCCGGCCCCGGCCCCAGCCCAGCCCTGACAGCCCCGGCCCCGGCCCCAGCCCAGCCCCGACAGCCCCGGCCCGGCCCAGCCCAGCCCTGACAGCTCCGGCCCGGCCCCAGCCCAGGCCTGACAGCTCCGGCCTGGCCCGGCCCCAGCCCCAGCCCAGCCCCGGCCCTGAGACAGCCCCGGCCCAGCCCCGGCCCCGGCCCCGGCCCAGCCCGGCCCTGACAGCCCCGGCCCAGTCCCAGCCCCGGCCCTGAGACAGCCTCGGCCCAGCCCCGGCCCTCACAGCCCCGGCCCCAGCCCTGACAGCCCCGGCCCGGCCCCAGCCCGGCCCTGACAGCCCCGGCCCGGCCGCGGCGCTCACCCCGCGCCCCGCTCGCCATGGCCCGGCCCGGCCCGGCCCCGCCCCGCCGGGGGTTGGGTCCCGCCGCCGCGGCTCCGGGCGGGGCCGGGCCGGGACTCGGTGGGGCGTGTGTCCGAAGGATCCCGAGCAGGGCTGGTGTGTCGCTGTGTCCTTTGCAGCCTCAGCGGCAGCACAGGCCTGAGGCGGGGACAGGCAGTCGGGACACGGACACGAGGGGCTCCGAACGCTGGAGTCAGATCGGGAGGACGCGGTGCTCAGCTGGGCCAGGGCAGGCTCAGTGTGGGCACAGCAGGAATTTCCCCATGGAAAGGGGGCTCAGGAACTGCCTTGGCACTGCCCAGGGGGGTTTGGAGTGCCCAGCCCTGCAGGTGTCACCTGGAGGTGGCACTCAGAGCCCTGGGCTGGGGACAGGGTGGGGATGGGGCACAGCTGGGACTCCATGGGCTGGGAGGGATTTTGCAATTGATTAATTCTGTGGTTCTCTGTGCAATCAGGATGTTGGTGTAGGCCCCTGCATGCCTGGCAGCCTGGTGTAAAGGCTCAGGGCCCCCAGGTGCTGCAGCTGCCCCTGCTCAGGGCAGTCCCAGACTCAGCCCTGCAGGTCACACAGGGCTCACCCAGCCTGCGGGCACTGGGCACCGCTGGCACAGGGGCAGGGCTGGGGCAGCCCCGGCTCTGTCTGTGTGTGAGCGACGGCAGTGATGGCAGGGAGAGGGCAGGGCTGTGCTGGAGCAGCCCGGGGGCAGCCAGGCCTGCCCAGCCCCGATGGGGGTCTCTCTCTCCAGGGTGTCACTGCTGGCTGCTGGCACGCTGAGGAATGAACCCCATTTTTGGGGCAACATCAGGAGTCCCAGAAAGCTGCAGAGACAGGACACGCACAGTCCAAATCTTTGTTTCATTACGAGTAAGAGGCAGAAGGTTGCAAGCACTGTATTTAACTTTATTGATCATTACTGAAAAGGAGTTAGTAGAGGTTAAGTGCCAAGAGGCAGCTGTTCCTTCAGGTTCCCTGCCCTGTCACAGACCCAAAACACTGCTGAGCCTCTTGCTGGGGCTCCCTCGAGGGCCTGGATGCAGCTTGTTTTCAACAAGGACAATTTTGTTTGTACTCTGTGTGGGTTCAGCCCTTCTCCCTAACAGCAGCTTCTCAGGAGAAGTCAGCTGAAATGCAGCTCAGCTCCATCCAGGGTAAGATCTCGAGGCCTGAACCCTTCTAGGACTGGAGTGTTAAAGCACAGGTAACAGCAGAGCAGATTAGGTTAAATTACAAATTGTTTTTGATACAAAAACATAAAATATCCCCTATTAGCATCAAGAAGGCATCCAAGTTTTAATACTCTCATTACAAAATTGTACCAGCATTTTTACTGAAAACAATATAGATCTTTTATCTATTTAGTTTTGGTTCTGTTCTCGACAAGCAGTTGTGTGGCTGCTACCAAACCCCAACGGCAGTTTGATGAACCTCAGTACAAACCACATGCATCACAAATACATAAATAGATCTACATGACCCGGTATAAAAAATACATCCTATGCAAGAACCTCAGGTATACTAAAAATCCCAGAACGGTTTGGGTTGGAAGGGACCTTAAAGAGTCCCAACCCCACCTGCCACGGGCAGGGACACCTTCCACTAGAATCAACCTGTTTGTGAAAATTCAGACTTAATACATCTGTTCTCCCTGAAAGCAAAGGTGGCTACTAAAATGTGGCAAAAGCAGTAGACAGGAGCAGAAAAAATACTGCAGAATCGTTGTCTGACTTATTGCTACATGTAGATTACATCAAGAGTAATCTGTTTTTTCCTAATCCTTGAAAGGTCAAATTGTGTATGGAATTCTGAACAGAGTAAAGAAAAAAGCACTTTTTATAAAAATAGCATCCATTTAAGTTAGATAAATCCTTATAAATACAAGAAAGAAACCAGTTACTCTATAAAACATTAATTGAGAGCATATGAAGCACCAGCATCACATCCCCAGGTTAAGGACCTCAGAGAGGTGTTTATCCACACAGCCACAGCGTTCCCCTGTGCTGCCACAGCTGCCCTGGCACACAGGGGCTCCAGGCAGCTTCAGCACCTCTGGGCTCTGAACCCCTTTCCCATGGAAAGGAAACAGCTTTGGGCCAGCCCTGCTCCAGTGCTCAGCTCTTGCAGAGATCACACGGAGCCCCAGCAGCTTTAGCTGCACACTGGTGTGAGGGTGAGAGGCAAGATCCTATGACTTGGAGTCACACTACACCTACCAAGTGCTGCAGCTGTGTGACAGTAACAAAACCTGCACTCTTCTGCACCTGTATTAAGTGTCAGCTTTCAGAACTCCATGACACAAACTGACTCTTTTGTGGCAGAGGAAGCAGAGAGCATCTGAGGGGTTTAAAAATAAACAGTTTGAAAAGCTATTAAAACATAAAAGGTTTAGAAACTTTAACATTTTTAGTGTTTGTAGCATTACAACTTTGGTGTTCAGATCTAGCAAATCAGTATAAGCATGTAATCAGCCTCATCAAGAGAGGTGTTCTACAATGAAAAACACTAATTCCATTTTCAGTGGCAGAGCTGTAGGATCTGACATTCCACTGTGAATCACAGGAATCAGAGCATTGTCCAAGTCCTTCAGGTAGTTCTGTGGGAGAAGGTGTCCTCCAGATCCTGCTAAGTATTCAACCTGGGAGGGAAACATACTGATATTAATTAACACTTCCTGTATTAACATTATATGCAAAACATGCTGTATCACAGTAAAAGAGTATTCCATCTACCATGAAGTGAGAAATTAATGACTAAGACAGCATCTTCCCCAAATGTCATCCTCAGCCTGGATCTTGGGTAGGGCAAAACTCTAAACCTTCATGGAGAGATCCAAGGTATTTACAAGGGAAGGTACTTCAGTGGAAATGGAGTGTGTGCAATTAAAGTTGAAAGCTTACCATGTCTGAGTCGATGGAAACTCTGAGTCCTATCTTATTCATCCCGTTATTTTTCAAGGTTTTAAGGTGAGGGCAAAGAGCAGTGCTGCAGGCAATGGCAATCTCTCTTGCAAACCGGTGGGGAACAGCACTGGAGAGTTCATGATCCTTTGCAAAATAGTAAACCTGAGATCAGAGAAAGGGAGGGGCAGTCAGCAGCCTGGTACAGCCCAAAGTTAGGAAAAAGAGTATTTCAGGATCACATAACACCAAACAGGGCAAGCTTTGGTGCTTGTCTGCTGGGAAAGCACCCGAGTCATTCATCCACACAACCAAAACACTTCAGGAACCATGGGAATGCCTGCATTAGGCATTTACAGAGCTGTCACTGCCAACAGACTTGAGTCTTTTTCAGAGGACAAAAAATTACAAGTGTGTAAACTCAGCAAGCAGCTGCAGAGAACGTTCTGCCTGGCAGCATGGCTACACACAAAATCAGCTCATTTTAACAGCTTCACTTAGTACCATCACATTACCACTTAAATATTCCATAAGTAATAAAAAAGGCTCAAGAGCTATGTAATTCACTAACTTCAGTGCACTTCATAACTTTTCCCTCTCTTTCGAAGTCTCTGTATTGTGGTGCTTTTTCCCTCTGAGTTCCTTCCATTGATTCTCCATCAACGGGGCTCAAAATTCTATGGAAAACAAGAGTGTGATTAGCAATTTAAACAACACTTATAGTTCAGATACAGTAACTTCTAAGCAATAATATTTACCTATCCTTTAAGGCTATTTAAACACCTTAACAACAAAGTACGAAACAGGACTTGCACTATGAAAATACAGATGGTACAAAAGGAAATATCCTAAACAGGGAACTAACAGCATTAATAGAAACCTAAGCTTGCAGGTTTAAGACACTATAAACCATACTTGGTATCAAGCACTTTCTGTCACAAGAATACTTCAGATTAATTTTAAGAAACTAAAGGGAGATATTTGAACATTGGAAGCAAGAACTCTCTCAGATGTCTGGCTCTGGCAGTACATTTACCCTTTGTTTGTTTTCTCTTCATTTTCTACCCAGCAAATATCCACATATTCCTTCATGTCCTCTGTGTCCACTTGTCCACAGGTTATCCTGAAGTCCTTCTTGTCTCTTAATGCCTGACGAAGGCCTTCCATAGCTTCTCGTGTTATTTGTACCATTAGCCCATCTAGAAGAAAACCAGTTAAAATTCCACATTATCCACAGGAAAAGCAGCTCAGGTTCTTATAGAATCTGGGCTTCACTTCTACTGAGACCAACCATCTCCTACAGCTAATTAATAAATGCACAAAAGCACTGCATGCCCCACCTACAGCACTGAACGTTACATGAAAGAGGAAGAAAACCTATTTTGTCAACAGAACTCAAACTAAAAGATAACTTTTAAGTTAATTTCTGAATTTTTTTGCATATATATGCCAATATATATATTTCAGCAATATGTCAATGAAAATAGTTCCATAAAGGAAAGACCTGCAGTGATTAAACAGAGTTTAAATTTGAATGTTTTAAAACAAGTAGGTGAACTATCATGTATTTTTATGCAGCATTTCTTTGCAATAGGTTTCATACAAAATTTAAAAACCTGAACAGTTTAACTTACTGAGGCATAAAGACCTTGCACAAGACTGCTGCTATTTTTTTTTTTTTAAGTCTCTTAAGACGAGAACAGAACAAAATTCTTACCTTCAACTATACTGGATTTAGCTAAAAATCCTGAAGATGTTTTTAAGGCTCCATTAAACACCACAAAACTTGCACCTGTAACTAGACAAAGTAGGAAGGAAGTCAGCACCATTTTGTGTCACTCCAGTCAGTCCTAACTGACATTAAACTTGCACTCCTCCAAAAACACAATTTAATGTGACACCAGAGATGCATTTTCCATGCAGCCTAACGCTGAACTTCCATTTCTGCTCTAGAAATGTGCTTTTCCTCCCCCAGACCTCTTACCTTTCCTGGGCTGTCCCGTGGCACTGATGACCTGTGTGTGACAGAGGCCCTGCTTGTTCTGCACACACACCAGGTGAGAGTCTGCCTCGGTGCTGAAACTGGCTCCAATGCTAATTACATGTTCGTTAGAGGAACTGATCACCCTCATCACCTGTCAACACAAAGTTTGTCATTACACTGAAAAATCTCACCAAGAGGGTTTTTTGGTTGTTGCTTGTTTTTTGTTTTTTTTTTTTTTTTTAATTACTAAAGCAAAACATCATAATCAGGAAATCTGCAAGAGGGAATGTTTAAAAATAACATGCTGAAGGATTTTGAAGAGACTGCAGATCTTTCAGTATTTAACAGCTATCCTAAACCTCTACTCCTCATTATCCACCTTCCAGTGCATCACAGAAGGAACTGTGTGCTCAGGTAATTGCATGCCCTTCCCATTACACATTTAGGTCAGTACAAAGCTCTGAGAGAGAGTTTTTTCAAAGAGCTGATGGTAGAGGTGTGACTGCTGTTATTCAAAAAATGGAAGACCAAAGCAGTTTGGATTAGAAAGCTAAGATGGGGGTACTCACCTCGTGGTGCTTCCTCAGAGGTATTTTAATACAGCTTCTACCCATTTCCATATGGACAAACAGGTTGTCTATGGTATGCAAACTATATTGGTAATTTCTAAAGTCCTATAACAGACAAAATATTTATGTTAGCAGACAATTAAGTATTGCTTTATTACCTTTTCCTTACCTTCATCACTTAGATGAAGGTACTCTAAATGCATCTGTAGGATTTCCAAAAAACAGTAGTATTTAGAGTGGCTGAAGACTTAGGGATCCCTTTTTGCCCACCAGGTGTATGTGACAGGCATCTCAGTGAATGTATTAATAAATTCAGAGCACTGACAAATTAGCTCTATTAACCAATGGGTTATTTACTCTATGGCTACTTCATTCACATCAGAATCCCAGTGATTTAAGGAAAGAAAAACTTCAAAACTCTTCCTTCTCTGATAGAAAAGTGAAGTGTGGAAGATGAGTTAGTTTGCAAGCTCACAGCCTGTCCCCTACATCTCTAATTTGATTTACAGATTGAATAGTGCAACATTTCTTATCCCTTTCTGTGGCAGAAGTAATCTCCTATAACCTCAGCCACTTCTGCAAAATTCTGTTTATTTCCAGAACAACAACATTAGGTATGAAATGGTCTCATTTGCTTTTACTACTTCAGCTAGGAAAAAAAGTATAAAGAGGCTCTTTTCACCAGCTGAGCCAGGCAATCAGTGCCTTCCTCCATCAGCACAGCTGCAGCAAGAAGGGTATTTACAAAACATCTCAGGGCACTAAGGTTTCCATGGGACAGCATCCTGCAGTAGGGATGTAAATCACAGGTGCCCTTTGCCTCAGCCACTCGTGTGGGGACAGGCTCTGCATGATCTCTCACAGAGCATTTGCATCACAGGTGCCAAGGCACCACCCAGAGAACATTCTGCAGCCATGCAGTGACTGAAACTCCTGCAAGGAGCACCCACTGCCCCTGCCTGCCTCAGGCTGACACAGCCGCCAAGGGGAACCCAGTAACTCTGATCCCCCTGGAAAGGAGCTCCACAGAAACCCCATCCAGCAGCAGCACTGCAGGAAGGCTGCCCAAAGCCTCAGGGGGCAGCCACACAGTGCCACTTGCACAGCACCAGTGAGGCTGGTGGTGGCTCGTGGATTTCAGTGGGAGGCTCCTCCAGGAGGAGGAAATGTGCTGTTCTTTGATGGGGCACCTCCTCCAGCTGCAATCTGCACACCTGTGCTGGCAGAAAGGAAAAAGGGGCAGAGACTGCAGTTTCATCTCAGCTATGATGGTCTCCAGACCCAGGAGAGGATGCAGTGATTGCCCAAATGAGACCTGTTCTGCTTTCCATGGCCCTGCCCTGAATGCTGGGATGGAAGGGCTGGAAGTTCTGTGTAAGTATCAGAAGAGGAAGGTTACTGGCCAGGAACACAGGCTTACTGCAATCTGAAATAAAATCATTTGGGTAATAGAGGGAAAGCTTCCACAGGAAATGGCATGAATTCCAGACCTACAATTTTGCCAAAATGCCCTTCACAAAAGACAGTCAAGCTGAATAACTGTGGCAAGGTTAAGTTTGTCTGACAAAGCAACTAATACTGCAGTTAGTCCCCAGCATCTGCCTGTCGAGTGTTTCTTCACATGTAAAACTGTCAGATTTAAGACCAGAATCCCTGCACCACAATGATGCTCAGAAGAAAGAAATGCACCTGAATGATGACTACCAGCATCAATGCAAATGCCAAGATCTCCCTCACTCATTAAAAGCCTTTTTTTGCTACCAGAACTAATGCATAACAGTACAAGGTGAAACAAACTGCTTTCTTAACTCTCTCATGAGTTTTAAGTATGACAAAAACATTTGCTCTGCTCTCAAGATTCAGCATTTGTTTGGAGGATATTTTGATGACAACAGGAAGGGCAGGTAATGAAGCATCTACTCACAACAGGCAGGTTCATAATGTCCAGTGTGCGTCCCATGTCTCCAAAGAGCGGCTCCCGGTGCCTGACACTTACCATGGGAGCTGGATAGGCTAGGAAGAAAAAGGGCACATTTACCTAACAACAAACTCTACAGCTTGCTATTCCAATTAGTTCTATAGGCTTTTTTTCAGCTGTAAGCTGTCTCTAAATCTCAAGATCTGACCAGCCAAAGGAAGCAGAGCCCCTCTCTAATTCTCAGCCACTGTGTGGTTCTCTCCCCCCACGGTTATATCTGACAAAAGTGGTTAAAAAAGCCAAGCACAGCAAGTGGATTGGTAAGAAAAAGAACAACAACAAAGCAGCTGCCACCTCTGTTACCACACAGACAGGATCTGGCTGGTAGAGGTCCACTGTGGGCTCCAGCAGTCCATGAACAGGTGACAGGTTCATGTTTATGTGTTGGACAATTCCCACCTTTACAGAGACGGGGCAACTGAGAGGCATTTTAAAAGATTTTATTCCATATCAGTCTCATTGAAGGGTGAGACATAAGAGATGTAAAACTCAACGCCATTCTATCAGAAACCCACTTATTTCCTGGTTACAACACCTCATAGATGTTTCTCAGTCTATTAGCTGTATCCACACAGTGCTGCTAATAGTTCTAATACCAACCACCTATTATTTTACCTCATGTGGTTTTGCTACAATGCATCTTTCACAGTTCTAAATCTCCAAAATATCAGGTCCTTTTGCAAGGCCATGCTTTGAAACTTGTTTCTAGTTCAATCTCTCTCTCAACAATGTCATCTCTATTCCATGGCCTTCCTAAGGCAGCACACCTTGTCTCAGAGTTTGCATACAGATGTGCAAACAAGGCTGTGAGAGCTTTCAGTCAGGTTTGGAGAATCCCTTACAAATCCATTTCTCACATTTATGGACTTGCAGCTTCTACAATTGTGGGCTACAGCCTTTTTACATGCCTAGATGTTTCCAATGTATTAATAAGTTATCCTTTTAAGTAATCAATACCTTTATTTGGTTAATGAAGCAGTAATATTTTGCCAATAAACTAATTTAATTAAAATAACCATTTTATCAGAATTGCAAACTGGACTTGTGATCATCCCTTCAAACCCTTCTCCTACAACCAAAAAAATCTTTATATTTTACTGACAGTTTTTGTTTCTTAGCTTTCTCATCTGCTAAGAGAAAAAAAAAAATCAAAGAAGTCTATCAGGACAATGAACACTCCCAGGTGGCTCCACATGTTGGGCTTATACAAGTATAATATAAAATACTGCAAAGATTATTTTAAAATAGCTTGCTTGTCTAAAAACTACTAGTATTTTCAAAAGGGAACTTTACAGTTTATGCAGCTACTGGCACTGTTAAAACTTACCCCCATATTCTGCTCCCAATCTCAGCATCAAACGTACTGGAAACACTTTTGCCCAGGGTATTTCCAGCTTATGGATAAGAATGCCACAAAGAAAAGGGTTATCTGGTAGAATCTGATCATCAAGTTCCTGAAAAGCTGGTGAAACAAACAGGAATCCGCCGTGCTCTTTGTTGCTGAGAAAGCTTTCTGTAAAAGTAATGCTTTCCATGTTTTTTATGAACCTTCCTGTAGAAAGAGGAATGGAGAGTGTTTACAGAGCTGGGTCACTCAGAGAACTGCACTGAGCAGTGAGCTCTGACAGACCTGCCAGCCCACCCTTGCCCTCGCATCTTCCTGCAGCCTGTCAGCTATCTAAACCCACAGAGTATGAGCCCTGTACTTCATCACCAAATGAACCTGACTACCAAACTAAGCTCCTCCAAACAAGTGCCTAAAGTCCTAAACACATCAGTGGATGAGTTTTGATCAACAAACCTAAAATATTTACATTTATGAGCACTGTACTTCTACAAATGAAGTGCAGGTGTCCTAAAAACTACAGACTCAGGGCTCATACCTAGAATCTCCACCACAATATAACTAAAACAACAAAAAAACAACTATAACCAAACAACAAAAAAACCTGCAAACAGGATGTTGACAGAAGTATATAAAACAAGCATAAATTCCTTTGTTTCTGTTATTTAGAACTCTAGTCTAACACTGCAAGCTCTTTCAACAGAATCATTAGACAAATAATTCAAGAAAAATTACCTATCAACTTTACGTTTTAAAGATCAGCAAGAATATTCTACACAAGAAAAAGTTAAGACATTAAAATGACACACCTTTCATTGCATCTTTATAGATGTCAAGAAATAATTTGAATAATTCACTAGGGAAAACATCTTCATCTGGCAAACGCTGCAACAGAATGACAATTTCTGCCTGACCCAAACCATGCAGTCCATTTGTTGAGAAGCACCAGCACTTTTCTGAGGAATCTTTAAAAAGATAAGATACCACAGTAACGCTGTTTTACAGACAGAAAAAAAAGAGAAAAGGCTTGATTTAATGGAAAAGAAAATGTGCAATACTTACACGTTATTAGCTTCACATTGACAAGCAAGTTTGCATTTAGAATAAAAGTCAATGGATTAGGACGTCCTTCCCCAAGCAGCAAGGTGACCTTTTGGTGAAATGGATGTTCCTCCACCACAAGATCTAAATAAAGTGACACATGATTTAGTTCAAAATACCAGCCAATGACCCAAACCAAGAATCGGTTCACTGTATGACAGAGTCATCCCATCCTCCTACCCCTGTGGTAATTCCCAAGATTTGAAGAGCTACAGATCAACCAGGGAACAGCTTACTCTAAGATTCAAGGAACATAGAGAACTGAAGCAGCAGCTTGAAAGAAAGGTGTAAACCAAGGCTGCCCTTCCTTTGGAAATCCCTGACTGAAAGTGTGCTGACTCCTCATTCATACCCTGATTCTGCCAGGTACCTCTGATGAGCACAGCCACCACTATCATGCAATTAAGTGGTGACCCATTGTTCTCATAACATACTGATCTTGTTAAAAGTGCACAGTCATTACCCAACAATCCAGCATGCAACAAATAAATCACATGAGAATTATATTAAAATACAAGTTTTTGAGTCTGTATTTATGGATGAGTCTGTATTTACAAATCTGGGATAGTAGAAGGTGTGGGTGATAGGGGGTGGCACTGGATGAGCTTTAATGTCCCTTCCAAACCCAAGCAATCCTAGGATTCTGTGAGTAAACAGCAACAATTTTCTCAAGAAGTGAGCAGCTTTCACCTTTCCCTTTTTCCCCCAGTGCCAGCAGAAGCGGAGGCAGCTGATCACCATCAGGAAGAAGGCTGATGTCTCGTCGCACCCAGCTCTCTACCCCACACAGTGCTCTGTAGCTTGAAGCAGAGACAGGCACAGCCCGTGTGCTCCGACCCTCTGAACTGGGACTGCTCTTCTCTGCTGCTGCTGCTGCTGCAGGGGAACACTCCTCAGTGCCCGGAGTGACAGATCTGTCACCAGGTGCCACCTCACTCTGGCCTGGCGTGGCCTGCTGTGCACCATCTGAAGGAACAGAAGGATGTAATCCCTCCATTCTTGTCATCTTATCTGTTTCTTCCTTCAGTTTTTGATTTACATCAGTTACCAGGTCATCTTCCTCTGGGTTTGCAGCCTGTGAAGAAGAAGAAATAACAAAAAAAAAAATCTACATTGTCTCATAACCAGCTAAACTTTCATTACTAGCACTCTAGAAGCAAAAAGAGAAAGAATCTATCACAAAAGTTAGGAATACATTTCCTCCTAATAAGAAGAAAGCCATCCAATCTCTCCTGGATCCTCCTCTCTTTTTTTTTTTGTTTAGGAGTTATATGAGTGAAGATGATGCAGAGTTAATATATTTGTTTGGTAACACAAACTGGCTCAGCAGCTGTGTACTGCAAACATTTCTACACTATTTCTACTATTCTACTAATAGCTGAATATAGCTTTGCTCAGCCTGATTAATTTCTAGCTTGGAGTCCAACCCACACGGTTTCCCCAGCAAGACAGGTAAGACAGCCATACACAGGCACACTGGGATGTCAGCTGCCATAAAAAAATAAAATGGAAAAAACTAATCCCCCAAGACCCCTCAAAAAAATCAGAGATGTACATGATCTTTCTTTAGCCTTGCATCCGATACCAGAGGGAAGACTTTGTCCATACAAGAAAAGCCCTGGCAACTTCAAGCTTGCCCTGTAGCAATTCTCCTGGTGTCCCATCAGCTTCCAGCAAATCCTCCATTTAACAAATATGCTGCCACAAAATAAAAAAAAAAGCCACCAACTCCAAAGGGAAGACTCCACAAAAACACAGACAAAACCAAGGCTAAATTGGCTAATAACAGACTTCTTCCCTGAATCTGCTTGTGGGTGTTTCATACTTGGCATTTCTGCCCTTCACACACCTGCAGCAGCACTTTCAGGATTTTGTGCTGCCTTTTCTTCAGAGCTGCACTGTGCTGGTTTTGTCTGAGCTCCTGAGGCTGCACAGGAGAACCATCAACTAATTGTCTTCCACTCACTTTATCCATGCTGCTTTTAATTTTAGACATTGCCCATGTTCTGCAAGTGCAAATATCCTTCTCTTTCTCCAAAATGAGAGACAGGCTGTATCTTTTGTTTGACTCTTTTTTAATTTGATTACTACAGTTCTTCATGCGTATAAGCTGGTTTAAATGCTATACACCTGTTAAGTGCTCAGATCCTCTATATACAAATAATAATGATCTGGTTTTTTTAGCTTTATCAATATATTTTAAAAATTCTTGAGTGCTGTGAAAATCATGGAATTTAAGTTACTGATTGAGACAGTGTTTCAGTGCTTGCTATGTTTTATCTTAAAAAGGCTTCAGCTGAGGAACATTGCTAAGTCTTTCCACAGCAAACATTACACCTCTTCTGTGGACATTTTGTTTAAATTGCAGTTCATTCACTAGTATGCATGTGACTCATTATTAGAAAACCAATCCCCCTCTTGGTTCAGTATTAGTTCACACGAAAAGCAATACACAGATTTTGTTGCACCCTATAATGTTGCAATCTACAATGCCCTAATAATTGCACGGCACTAAGCAAGTTGGTTAGTCTGATTCAGCAGGGAAACTGATGGATTATATAATATATATATATATACTGATATATAAATATATTTATATTTATATATATATAAACTGATGGATTATATAATGTACATATAAATATAAACTGATGGATTATATAGTACATATAAAATATAATATAGCACACCACTGGAAATAAAAACAAACAACCACAAACTTGTACTATAAGCATGTTGCTAATGACAGCCTTAAGAACTGTGGCTGAGGTCACCTTCACAAAAGTGGTCCATCAAACACTGTGTACTGAAAAAATTGCTTTGACAAATTTTCAGCCACACCAGTTCTGAAGTTCACAAACACCTCAAACCAAACAAAGTTTTCCTTTGAAAACTCTGCTCAGTTTTACTCAAATTGAAAATTACCACCATGTTTTTCAATCCCAGGACTTCAGAGCTGCTGCCCAAAGGACTGTCTCAGGTTCCAAAGGCTGTGACTCAGAAGCTATGGTGTGTAAGAACCCCATTCCCAGGCCAGCAAAGCTCTCCCAGCAGGTAATTCATGCAGCTGAACCATCCCAACTCCTACCGCAGGTGTCTCGGGCAGGTCTGCGTTCTCTGGGCTGGATTCCTGTGACCTCTTTGCTCCTGAGGACAGCTTTGCTGTGTCTGCCACCTCCCCGTTTGGCAGAATACCATCTGCAAACCAAACCCTCTTCTGCTCTCTGGGGCACAGCCCTGTGACAGGTGAGAACAACAACTCTGTGTTATCGCGAGTTACAGCCGCTCCAACAGCTGAGAGGGACAGAAATGAAGCCCCTTCTCCCCACCACATGGACAGAGAATGTCTGTTCACTGCAACAAAACACAGGGTGACATCAGCCAGTCTCCAGTCAGGCAGTGTAACCTCTCACCTGCAGAGGAAGCTGCCCTGCTACAGTTAAATCTATCAATTTGTATTACAGAAGGCTACTTCCTCAATCACCCCTCTGCAGTGACATAAGAATGAAATGCATATCACAATTAAAGATGGAATACACTCTAAAAAAAGTTGATTTATCATTTTAACAATGTGTTTTGTTTGAAGAAGGTAAAATGTTTAAAAAAAGTTGAACAAAGACACTAGTTAGCCACTAATCATTTGTATTTACACAGAGAATAAGCTTTGCTCTTCCCTTGTACCTTCTCCCAGGTACTTTTTGTTTTCACTTTAAGACTGGCAGTCCAACACAAGCTGGAGATCTCCTAAGAGATGTAAAAATTATAGAATGAACAGCTACACAAAAAGATTTACAATGTAAACAGAGAAGTCAATGAAAAAAGTAACATCCACTTTTCATAAATGGAGATTTAGGGCCAGCTGGGGCCTGACACCAAGACTGGGAAGTGAAAGTGTTTCCATTCAGAGTGTTCCTGTTTCACACAAAAAAACCCCAACTATAAAAGAGACTCAAAGTGTCAGATGTGTGTTACACAGAGGATCTGTACCTTCAGGACCAGGTTGTTTAAGTGCTGAGGTAGGCAACAGTGCAGATGGTGAAGGAGAGCTGGCACCCCCGGGTATCTGAGCCCCCTCTACAGGCACAGCAGCAGAAGAATGCTCAGAGGAGACACTGGAATTGGGGACAGGACCAGTTGGACTCATCATCCTTTCAAATGCCTGTGCTAAAATAATGTGGTTAGTTTTTAAGATCGCACAATTTATTAAATTTCATTTGCAGAGCAGTACTGTAGGTGGGTGGGGGTTTTTTTGCAGAGGCAATGTAAAGTTTGTGATCTAGCTATGAAAAATAAACAGTCAAACTGTTGTATGGAAGAAAATTTAGACTCATTTTCTGCCTGCATAATTGCCTCATGTCTCAGGAGATAAAGAGACCTCCCCTTGTTCTCCTTGCAGTGGCTACACCACTGTGACCCCTGGCCCTTGGGGCAAATGTGTCACATCTGAGATCCACTGAGGCGCCTATTAAAAATCTGACATAGTTTTCAACTTGTTATTCACATACTCATCAACAGGACCTCACTTGTTTCTCCTGATGTTTTCATAAGCATCCATGGTTAGCTTTCCAGTTAAGAAAAGGTTATCTGATGAGTCATTTTTACTGCAGTCCTGGCAAGTGACTTTAAAAACACCAGGACAGGAAGCAACTTAAAGTTGGGCAAACGTGTGAGAACAAGGAGGGATGTGGCCTTTAAACATACACAGGGCTACTGTGGAGGGAGGATAGCTTCTGCTAGATTCCTGTCACAGATGACTCAAATTGTATTCTTCTGTAACTTTCTATTTAGTCCTATGGAGTTAAAAGCTAATTTTTTTTGTTTTTTAATAAAAAACAACCAACTAGATCCTCAAAGTTCAGAATAAGAACTGGAATCCAACTAAGAAACAATCTTATCTTTATCCCTCCATCTCAGAAATAGAAAAACCTACACCAATTGAAGTAATCAAGCTCCCCAAAAAGAATAAGGGTTAAAGACACAGTTCAATGATTACTGCAATTACTCAAAAAAACCTCTTTACCTTTATTAATATCATCATAACAGCCAGTGCAGACTCTTGCTTCCTTCTCCATGTATTGCAGTTTGCATTTTCGTTTGCAACAGCTACCACAAAAAACCTGAATCAGAAAAGGATTGCATTAAATATCATAGACATATTGCACAGCAAATAGCAAAATACACTTCCTTCATTCTAAACCATCTGCAGCCTTGTATTCAAGCCTGTATCTTAACCCCTGACAAAGAAATCCTCAGGAAAAAAAGAACGACAAAAACAAAACCCTCGAAATACCAAGCAGAAAGCAGCAACATGGAGGACCCAATTGAAATTATAATAAAATTCTTCTCTGGAGTGAAGAAAAGGATTTCAGGTCACACCACCCATCCCAAATTCTTCTCAATCCTACATGTGATCCTGCCATAAGTATTTTATATCAGCCAGCAGTGCCAGGGCCAAGGAGTGAGGCGCAGAGCTGGTTCTTGCTCTGGTGCTTCAGGACCATCTCTGCAGCCCTGTGTGCTCAGCAGGGCTCTCAGGAAGCTGTTACCTGCCTGCCAGGCACTCAGGGCTGCCTCTCCAGCCTGGCACAGCCCTGCTGGGGCAGGCTGGCTCATGTGCTGGGGCTGCTGAGTGCCTCTCCTGCTCCCTCAGCAAGAACAAGCAGTGCTGCCTGCATGGGACAAGCTCCCTTCAGACAAGCATTTGCAAAAAACGCTGCTTTGGAAGAACAGAATATGCTCTTCTGTTCCAGCAGGTATATATCCTCCCTATTTTAAAGCAGAAACAGGGGGAAAAGTGTGCCTCATTAGCCTGGACAATCTACAATGGGATCTACACAATCCCATTCAAAGAATTATGTCTTTAGAATAGCTGGTGTTTTGCAAGAGTTGCTATAAATATCTGGAGGTTTTGTCACTTTCCCCTTATGTTCTTTCAAAGATGATCTGCAAGTTTTTAACGAGTCACACCATTTTTAGCTATGTGCAGACTCTGGACCTTTTACAAAAGGTCATCTGAAACCCCCTAAAGGTGTTCTTTACTCCTAATTGCTCCCAGTCCAGAAAAACAAAGTGGATCAAGGCGGGGGAGGAAGGGGGGAGGCAAATCCCAAACAGGAGTGGCATAGGAAAACAGAAAGTTACAATTAACTCCTCCAAGCAGGAAAACTCACTGCAAAAGCAGTGATTGATCAGTGTAATACAAGCTAAAAGAAGAAACTATTCCAGCTGCTTCTGGATTAGTGCCACAGGTAATCTACCTCAACAGGAAACACGCATGCTCAATACATGTGTTAAGAATGTAATGGATGAGGATTAATTGCTAATCAGTTATAATCCACTTCAGGGCTTCAAATGCTGAGCAGCACAATCCCTAGCAAGGAGTGTTCTCATCATACCCTTGGTGACACTGGCACTTGCAGGGGACTGCAGGAGGATTAATCCTAATGCACCTGAAAGGTGAGGGCAAACTAAGGGACAGGAGAAAGGAGGTGAGTAGCAGGCTGCTGGGCAAGCAAGTGGGTCCTGCTTGAACAAGGAAGAAAAAAGGTACCACAGCAAGAGACAAACACCTGGACAATGGAACTGCAAAGCTGTTTGGCCTTGTGAGGGCTGCAGAGGGCAGAGAAAAAACAGGGACCACTAACTTCACACTTCCCTCTGCCACAGATGCCAGAGTCCACAAGTGTTGCTATTTTCAGGGATAAAAAAAGAGGTATGGGAATCCATACAACTGTCTTCCAGAACAGTCCACAGAGGACAACTCTGAATTCCAAACAGTTTTCACTTAGTTCCCAAATGGCTGAAAGCACAACAAACAACAGCTTCAAAAGGAGTGTCCAATTTGGGATTTTTTAAGACAAAAAAAAGTTGCTATTAAAAAGACAGAAAGTCTTATGAGGCAGAAAGTTAAACTGCCCATTCACAAAAGCTGTAATTGCACAGCACTCCCACATTTGTAAGGTTTAGACAACCCATGCTGCCTTCACTCCCTCTCCTAATGAACAGGCATTGTGATGCTCCCTAATTGCACTGCTGTTCTGCCATGAGCCCCTCAGCTGACACACCCACAGCTGTCAACAGCACTGTGCAGTGAAGGGTCTCCCATCCCCACCTCTAGACAAGGTGTGAGAACTTCACAGCAAATGTGTAACAGGAACCTGGAGTTAGTCAGACTTATGACCAAAATGGAACGCACTCTGAAGGACTGTGCTTTAAACCAGCACAAAATCTCATCAGGATGTTCTGGCAGTAAGTTCCATGGCTGCCAGGTCAGCACAAGGAATTCTTCATTTCCTGGACACCTCAATTCACACCCACATTTTAGTTCACAGTGGCTGAGTAAATGAGCATCGTGCTCTGAATACACAGTGCTAGAAGAGAGGTGGAAAGAAAAACTGCCGTGCCTTTGCAGGTGGTGCTTAACACTGGGGATGCAGAAATTTAGTGCAGACACCAGTCTTTGCTCTGTCTCCTCATCCTTAGAGCTTACAGAGCAACACAGAACAGTGAGGTCACTAGTACTCCTAGCATTTCCATTTATGCACTAGTACAAACCACAGTAGATCACAAGGGAATCTGAACTGAGTATCAATTTTTGGCATCGCTTACTCTCTGTAGAAGACCTCAGGCTTAAAAAAAGTTCTGCAATTACTCACTTTGTTGGTGAATCACATACTTTTCCCCTGAGATGAGTTCCTTAGAAAGTGATACAGCTAAACACACTGGAAGACAGATTTAGACCATAAATCCTTTTGCATTGGTACTGCTGCTATAGCTCCTGAAAGAACACAATCCCTTCAGGTTCATGGGCAGTGCCCCACAGTTATAATAAAGTAAATCCACTGGATTCTCATCATCACCACCTCAATTTTTTAGAACAAAAATACTTAAGTTAAAAGCTCAATAACAGGCTGAATCAATACGATTATGATTAATTAGTCCATCATCTCACCTCCCCTACTCTATGCAAAACACACCAAGCTATCCAGTAATGGCAGGTAAGAACTTTGTACTTCTCTTTAGTCACAATTTTCACAAAAAAGGCCACATGTTTCTTAATTAACATCAGTCTTTTCCAATAGTCTTTAGGTTCCTGTGGAGGGAAAATACAACCTGGCCTATGTTAAATAAAGTACTTTGGGCCTAGAACACTTCTGTCAATATTCTCTCCCTTCTCTATCTTGGTTATGGCTAAATGAGAATGTCCTTTTCCTGTGGCAGCACAGGACCCCTCCCCAGTGACTCACCTTCCCACAGGCTCGGCAGTGGTGTCGCCTCTTTGTGAAGGTGAACTTGGCCTGGCAGTTCATGCAGTTGGGTGCCTCTGAGTCCGGGACCCACAGGGGCTGCTTCCAGGACAGAGCTGCAGGTGCTTTACGTGGCTCAGCACTTTCAGATGTTTGATTTCCTCCAGCCCCAGAGCTGCTTTCCCCAGGCTCAGTATTACCAACATTTACACTGGTGTCTGAGAGGGGAGCCTCTGGGCTAACAGAACCACATTCCTGGTTTTCTCTTTCAAGTACATTTGTTCTATTCAGTTGTTTCTGACCAGTAGCTCCTTGGGAAAGGTCAAGCAATTGCTTTGGTCTTGCACCTTTAATACAAACATCAGAAGCCAGAGCTCCACTGCCACTCTCAGTCATGCCTTGACTTGGAGACATGGTGACCTCTGCTGCAGCTTCCACTTCATTGTCAGGAATAGACGCTTTAAGGTTACTATTAATGCTTGTTATCTCCTCCAATTTTGCTTGCATAAGCTCTTCACTGACCTCTGTGAAATCCAGGTTGTTCAGATCTGTTAAACTCCCTCCATCTGCATCAGCTTCCACCAAGTTACCATCGTTGTCTGAAGACTTCAACATACTGGACTGCAGACTTTGTCCATACAAGAAATCATCAAGCTCAGCGTCGCTTATCAGAATATCACCTTTAATAACATTCTCCTCAACAGTAAAGTCAGCCAGAACAGAGCTCACGCTCTCATCATAAAAAGTGTCTACACCAACATCATATGGCTCAGCTCCAAGGTCCAGAAAAGCAGAAGCAAAAGCTTTGATTTGCTGAGAATCACTATCATCAATTACATTCTCAGTACTGTATTTTTCTCCACCTCCACTTTCTTCTGCAATACTTTCACTGATTTCAGCTACATCTTCTTGCTCATGCCAGGTTGTACTTTCACAGGATTCCCTGCCAGGGAGATGAGTTTTAGACTCTCCAGCATGAACAGTTACAGTATCACTAATAACCTCTGCCACTGCATTTTGAGGTAGAGGATTAACCTTTTCTTCTGATACAACTAAGGAACCACACATGGACACAGGAAGGGAAAGACAAGACTGAGATGTCTGGACATCCTCAGCTGACATACACGAACTGGAAACACTGCTTGGTATCTCACTGCTATTAAGTTCTTCACTATCTATATTCTCTTCTGTGGCTTTCTTTTCCAATTCTACTTCAGCTCCTATCTGACACGAGGAGCCTGGTAAGACACAATTTCCAGGTTCTGTTGCATTGCTGTTGTGCAGGGGGTGCCTCTTTGGCAGATCTGAAGGCATGGAATCCGCATTACTCCCATTGTTTGGGTCTACTTTTCCTATGGCATTTCCTCCACACGCTTCTTTGCTTGCTGCAGAGCACGCACTGTCGTCTTGTGTTTCAAAAGGCAGTTTTTCATCTTTGGGACCGTGTGCATTCCAACTCTGTGATGTTACAGTGACACATTCAGGATCCAGGGCAGCAGTTTGTCCGGGGTGGTTGAGTACTTCATTGCACTTTACAGGTTCTGTCCTGTGTTGATCATCACATAGACCCAGGACTGTTCCTGCAGCGTAACTTTCAGGTTTTAAAGCTGAATTATTAATTTGTTCTGTTGTAAGATGCCCTGAACCTTGTAACACCGAGTCCCCATCCCTCTGCTGTGTGCTGGCAGCCCTGCTGCAGCCAGGTGAAGTCACACAAACAGGAGTGGGGACACAAGACACGCCACAGCCAGCGGGCCCCTGGCTGCCCTGGAACTCATCCTGAGCCCCTTCTGGAGCAGCCACTGAGGGGATTAAATCTGCTGTGTCACTGACAAGATCACACACAAGCACGCTACTACACCTTCCCAGGCTCAGAGCCTCAGCTTCATTTAGGGAACTGCTGTCCACAGTGGACAGGAGGTCAGGTCCAGCCACACCCCTCTCTTTGGGTGGTGAGAAGCTGAGCACATCCCTTGTGCCTGCAGGGACGCAGGGAGAGCTCTCCTCTGGGGCAGGACATCCAGCAGGATCCTCTGGCAGCTCTGCTGTGGGGTGTGCATGCTCTAAGCAATCCAGGACTGAAGACAGCTTTGAGTCGTATGGATTTTGAGGTGCACTGAAGCACTCATATTCATCTATTTTAAGCAAGAAGAGATCAAAAGCAAAGTTTATAAGACTGCTCTCTTTCCACAGTGTACTCCTTCCTCTCAACCCCATCTATTCATCAATACAAGCTTTTACTTAGCAGATGCTACTTTCAAACTCCATGGTAACAGTCATTTGACCATGTACTTCCACTAAAAAGGCAATGCAGAAACCAACCTGTATTCTGCTCAAATTCATCAAGCAGTTTGTCCAAGTCACAGACTGCAGCTTTAAAGTAACTGTCCATTCTAGTCTCAGTTCTAGTGAAGCTTTAGCCTTCTTAAACCTTAAACAGAGAAAAACACAGCATTTAATTCAAGGCAATTTTTGTTTACAAAGCCCAAGTGTTCATATTAGACAGCAGCTCATATGAGGTGGTTTTTTATTTTTATTAATACTTTGTTTCCTCTTCATGTAAACAAAACCTAAGCACAAACAGGGCTGCAGCCTCTAAGTATTCTGGATATGCTCAGTGTACTCAGCATTACGAACAATACATACCCAAATTCACTTCAAACTGCAGAATTGAGGATCCTTATTAAAAAAAAAAAAAACAAAACCAAAACAAACAAACAAACAAAAACCAAAGCATCTGAAAACATCTGTTATAGCATTACAATGTCAGCATGTTTAAAACCAGAAGGAATATTAGGATCTTCTAGTCTGACCCCATAAACATTTTATGCCACACAGCTCACAGGCAAAAAACAAATTAGGTCATTATTACCTTTCAACACAACTGAACTGTGCAAATAATAATAATAATTATTTATATATTTATATAAATAATAATTATTTATATAATTATATATAATTAAAAATCCAACATGGTAATTGAGCTCATAATTTCTGTTCTACTCAAAACACACTAACTATGCTTCTGAGACCCCAAGAACATGAAACTCTTATTACAGACTTACCAGGTCATCAGAAAGCTATTTATTTATCAATCACACCCCCCGCTGCAAAACACCCTGGTTTATTTGTTTAATGAACCTTTCCAGCCACTCCATTTTATGCCTTTTTGGTCATTCAGAATTGACTTCCAACTGCACATCTTCTTCAGTGGCTGAACACCCATACAGTGGAACTACCAACCAAAAACCAGTATCTACAGCTCCTCTGAGCGAACTGAAGGGACTGAGATCCATTTAGTCTGATGTCTGTAAGCCACACCTGTTGGAGAGCTGTCCAGCTTTCCTTCTGCTTTCATCAGTGCATTCAGCCTCTGCACTGGGTGACCTCACAGCCCACCCCAATGCCACTGGAGCTCTGACTGCCTAGCAATGCCCAGCCATCCTCCCGAAAGCTTAGAGACCACACAAACAAACACTTCAGTCCTCTCACGCCGCCCTGCAGCTACAGATCTGGAGTCCATGCCTTACCTCCCCCCAGCTTTAAGGCTTCCCCTCGCTGAATGGTTCAGAGCAGGAGCTTTAACCCGTGTCAATGTGTAACTGCTCACCACGTGTGACGCAATTATTTGCCACACTAGAATGCGTGGAACAAGAACACTTCAGGGCAACGTGCGGTTCAAACAGGGGCTTGCCAAAGCGTTAAGGAAGGTGAAACAAATACACAGTAACACAGCACTTTGTGCCCATAAGTAAGCCAAAAATGTGAAAAATGCCTATTATATGATTGTCTTTTTGCAAATATTAAAATGAATGTAATATGTGCAATGTTAGAAAGCTATGCTGTATTAATGCTTTTCAGTAGTGTGTTAAATATAGTTTTTAGGCTATAACATAATATTAAAATAGAAACAATGCAATGTAAGATACTTTTTCTAACTAGCTCAAGAAATTCTTTGCACAGAGATAACACCACACCAAAACCCCCAAGAGAAGAATTACTGCCTCCTTTTTGGGAAAGACCAGACTTGGTGGGGACCGAGATGACTGATTTACAAGATGAGGGAGGAAAGCTGGCAATAAACAGGAAGCACCCTCTGCTTGAAAAGAATTTTTGAATCATGCATGAGATATATGAATATGCAACAGGCTCTGGCTTTTAAGGGTTAATCCTTTGTTAGCGAGCCGTGCTTTCAAGAGGAAAGCATCCAAATGTTCAGAATTCTTTGTTTTTTTTATTGTCCTTTATTGTCCTAACTCTGACTGTCCAAATTCTTATTGCTCTAATTTGTATTAATATTTTTATATTTTAGCTTATATTAGACCTTTTAACTTAATATTAGTTTATATTAAACTTTTAAAATTTTGGAAGAAGCGATCACAAAAATGTCACAAAAAACGAACGACCCGAATGCATCACTGTTTGGGTATCTGTGGCCATTAATCAGTCACAGCCAAAGCCTTCAGGCTGCACTCTAATACAAGCCTCTGAGTGTTGTCTGGAGCGCTGGAAGAGCAGCAAGCACAGGACTCGGTGCCCCTTCTCCTCACCCATCTGAGCACAGCTCCTTCCTGTAACAATCACGACCTCCCGGCAAGGGGGATGCAACAACATGGACTGGAAGTTATTTCAATTAAGAGCCTTACACGATTAACATCCTTTTGGTGATTCACTGAGAGACATCAAAGTGCAGATTCCGTCCCTAAAGCACGTATCTGTGGGCAGTCAATACTCAGATAGACCACAAAAACAAGAAATATTGAAGGGTTACAAGAAAACCGGGTATCAGAGGATGCGTAATGCCGGTTTGTGTCCTCTGTAGGTATTTATTACACAACCTCATCACTTATCACAGATATCAATACCAACAGGAGCTTACAAATAACAAAAATCTTCCCCACTGGAAAAAAAATAAAGACGAGAGGGCAAGCAATTATTTCATCTACCTTTGTCTTTTACTTCAAAAGGCCTAAGGAATATTCACTGTGTTGCACTCTTGAAAGACACATAAACAAATTCTGATTTAAGCATAAGGGCATTATTAGATGACAACACTATCTATTTTTAGATTATAATGCTAATTAGAAAGGTGCATTGATGCTGTACAGCATTGGCCCACTAAAGTCTCCAGAAAAAGGAAGAACTCAATGAAAAGAACTGCAGAACTAAAACCACACACCAACATTTACATTTATTTAATATAGATTAACCCACTTCTACAGAGAGCTCACAAAACTATCATACCTCAGTCTAACCCAGCAATGTTGCTTTGTTTAGTTAAATCTATTTTTAAAATAAAATGGTTATTTGAGTTGGTAAAGTATTTTGAATAACTAACCTAACCTTGAAAAACCAGCATATGCATTATTACTAATTTCATTACTCTTTCCACAAACTTTTCATATGTCTTCATCTTTCTACAACAGACCTACAAGCAAAAAAACCCTGAAACCCACAACAAAACCAAAACCCCCAAAACAGGGCAGACCAGCAGTACCTCCTTGTCCCTTGTGCACCGCTCTGTCCCAACTCCATGTGTCTGCATCACCAAAGAATTCTAAAAGCCTTAAAAGTTTTATTTTCTGCTGCCTGGATTTGCCTGCAGCCTGTCCCAGTGTTTACATTTTTGGATTAGAAGCCATGAAAAAGCTCTGGTGACACATTTTTATTAAATGGCTGCTTGCTTCCCTGAGTGAAGGGTCTGGAGGAACCACATGCTGCAGCAAACTGCATTTGTTCTGAGCATATTCTTTTAAGACTTATATATGTAACAAAAGAATTACACTACATTCTAACTATCAGAAACCAGGAGCACCACCACTGTATGTTTTTTAGGCAGGCACAACTGTTGTTTTCTGATTTTGTTTTTGAGAGCTCTGAATACAGTCACTAGGCACTCTCTAAACTGGTTCACAGATTAGGGTTTTTTTTTTAAATAAATGTTATACTTATGACTTTACCTGAGGCAATAATAGTGCAAGGAGACGTACAACTTTAGGCTCTCACCAGCTCCATTTTACAGATTTTTTAAAAAAACTTTTAAGCAATATTGAAATCACTGTCTGTTAAAGACTATATGGTTTCAGATAAAGATAGATCAAACATTTATGTAGGGGGAGACTTGAAGATAAAATAGCAGTCTGTCTCAAAAGGGAAAATAATCATCTAAGCACAAAAGGTACTACCAAAAAGTGCAAACTGGACGTGTCACTTCTCCAGATAAGCCTCTAAGCAGGCTCATCTTGGATCCCCAGCAAATGGTCTGACACAGCACCACCCAGCACAGCACCACACAGACCTAAGAACCAGAGGCAATAGTTCCACCCCACTAAAACTGTTAACTATTAACTGTGGAATGCAAACCCTGGGATCTCGATGACTGCAGGTGTGACAGGGCGTCTAAAACCCCTTCACAGCCTCCAACACTTCCTTTAAATCCTTCATGAATTACTTATCCCTTCAGACGTAACAGGCACATGTTCCAGAGTTCAAAGCCAGCATTCCACTGGGGATTTCTCAACACGCTCCTATTTAAAGGAGAAGATAACACAAGGCTGCTGGGAACACCGGGCGGCCAGCTTACAGGATGGCTTGTCAGGGCTTTTTCCCCAGACACACTCTGTAAATGGAGGCAGTGAGCAGTTCTCAGTGGTGGGTGATAACTTGCAAAACAGAATGGATAGGTTAATTATTACCAACTAGCCAATTCAATGTCTGAAGACAAGGTACCTTTTGATATCTAAGCACCTCTGAAACCACTCTGTAATTTTCACACATATGGGCACCACCAGACGTGCAGCTTGTTACAGCCAATCCCCACTGCAGAGGATTTTACAGCAAACATACCAGAACAGCCCAAGCTGGGGTTTAGAGGCAAAGGAACACAAGCAGGGGCACAGGGGACATCTCTCCCCTCCAGAGAGATCACCACAGGATGACCACCACCTCCATTCTGATCACCACAACTGCAGTCTTTCTGCTCGCTGGTTACGTTGCTTCAGCTCCATCACCGTGTTTAATTATCACATTTGGCCTGAGCAGGATGCTGAACTAAGGATTGTGGGAGCACTGAAATGGTTTTTCCACCTTAGCACCCCAGCAGCTAGCACAGGCAGAACAAAACCTCCAATATAAACACGAGCACTACTCAGCACTAAATTCACAGTGAAATGCTCATGGAGTACAGTGTGCCCCTTCTCCCTCTCTCAGGGTGATGATGCCATGATGATTTTTATCTTTTTCTTAATATTCCTTTTATATATTCTCTGTACCTTTAACATACATACCTGTAATTCTTTAGGCCTAATATCTTAATACAATCTTGGTATTCTGCTAAGCCAAAAGACCCAACTCCTAAAAGCCTCACAGTTAGAAGCCAGAAAACCTTACACTATCTTGAGAAACAAACACCCCCTCTAAAACACATCCTGTAAACTTAGGCCTATCTAAGAAAAAATACTTTAAAATAAAAAAAATCACACTATTTATTTAAACCTATCATTGAAACATCTTTGTAAAATATACTAATTTACAAAATTTGTAAAATTGTACACACTATCTCCTCGTATGTATGCATTTTGGTATATTCCACCATGACAAATTTTTATCCCATAAAAATCCTTATTAAATATAAAATAAAAACCTTTATCCCTTACCCGTGTCTAACTCTTAACTCTAAGACCAAGGAAAAGGCATCAAGGGTACTGAAGGAATTAATTTCCAGCTTTTTACCCCTCCCTAACACCATAAACCCACACATAGGCCTGAAGCCCTAAAGACAAAAAGTTTAAGGGAACAGCTGCCCACAGATCAGCAATCAACCTGATGGAGAAGTTCAGCAGAACCGAACAAACACTGCATGAAAAATTTAAATAGAACAAAAATTATTCTTGCTGAGCAGAACAACCTATTGTCCAAACCAAAAGCTGAGGTGGCTGCTGCCACAGCAAGTTTAGGAGCTGAATCATGGGGTGAACAAAAAGCTGCAGAAGTTTTCAGACGTATAAGGACAGGCTTACAGGACACACCACAACAAATTGTCTTGTTTGAAGAATGCCATCCTCTTAGGTAAACATGGACTCTTCAGAAGGACAGAACTCCAGGAGCAGCATGGACATTGCCACCCTCACAGCTCCATCCTGCATCACCTTCAGCTTGTGAGGATTTTTGTTCATTCATCCACACAAAAAACCCTGAACTGAAACAGCATTACTAGCACCACCCAGAATCCCTGAATTAAAGGTCTGGAAGGTTCCTCTGGAGCTCCCCAGCCCAGCCCTGCCCAGGCAGGGTGCCCTGGGCAGGGGCACAGGAAGGTGCAGCTGGGGCTGGGATGTCTCCAGCCAGGGACACTCCAGGCCCTCCCTGGGCAGCTGTTCCAGGGCTCTGCTGTCCCTCCATGGACACAAGTTCTCCCTCCTGCTGCCCTGCACCTCGCTGCCCTTTATTTGATGGCCACTGCTGCTCATCCTGGCACTGGCAGCACCGAGCAGAGCCCGGCCCGTGCTCTGGCAGCCCCTGGAGATGTTGGGATGCATTGATGGCATCCCTGGCAGCGTTCCCTTCTCCAGCCTGCCCAGCCCAGCTCCCACAGGCTCTGCCCAGCACACGGATGCTGCACAGCCCAAATCCTCTCTGGGGCCTGCCCTGGGCCCTCCAGTAGATTCTTCTTTATTCTGCTGTGAAGCCCAGACGTGGGCACAGCACACTGGAGGCAGAACAGACCGGCTCTGATTCCCAGTATCAGCAGTACCAGCAGCCAGCCCCGCCGGGAGGAACGGGCCGGGCAGACCCAACCCACCTGCATCTGCCAGCCGGGACAGAAAATGGCTCTGGAGAACAGGACCAGGCCCGGCAGAGCCCTCGGTGCTCGGCGGAAACCACGGCTCGCTCACCACCCTGCTCCTCTGGTTTGCATTATTAACCAGCCGAGGTTCGCATCACACCTCGCCGGCCACAGAGCACCGACAGCACGGGCTCTGCCAGCCGGCTGTGGCCTCGGCCGTGCTCCCCAGAAGGTGTCAGGGACCATTCTCTGATCGTATTGACACACAGACTTAAAATTATTTACACTCTCTAAGTGTACGGTGTATGATTGTCCATTCTACTCTATATACCACATATGTATCCTATACAACCTATAAAATAATCTCGTCTATTTTACTTCATATACCGTATATATTCTCCATATACTCTACACAGCACTCTTTGTATATATACTATACTCGATATACCGTATATAAGAACAGCAGTAAGCAATAACATCACTAACACCCACAAACCTCCGGGGGCAAATAACCCACCCAGGGAACCTCAGTCAGAGGTCAGACTCCCACAGCCGCGTCGCCCCGACCTCACCCGGCCGGTTCGGGGCCGTCTCCCCTCAGGGCCCGCCCCGGCCCCGGCCCCGCCGGCGGCTCCGGGCGGCGGCCTCGCCTCTCCGCTGCGCGCAGCGCGCCTGCGCGGCCACACCCGCGCCTGACGTCACCGCCGCCGCGCCCATCCCCACCCTGCGCGTGCGCTTCCTGCCGCGGCCGGCGTGGGGCGCAGCCCGGGGCAGGGGCGGGACCACAGGGCTGACGGACAGCCCCAGAGGGCGTGGCATACCGAAATGGGCGGGGTGTTCTTCTGATTGACAGCACAGGAGGGCGGAGTCGCCGACGGGACGGCCCTGGGGCGGGGCCTATGGGGGCGGGGCCTATGGGGGCGGAGCCTCCCCTGCTTTGTTCCGTACCCCGTCGGCAGGGGGCGCCCCTCCCGTCCGGGTCTTGTGATGTCAGACCCCGGTGACGTCACTACCACGACATCAGCCACCTTCAGGCCCTGTCTGTGCCCGTTCCAGTGACATCATACCCTCACGGTGACCTCACTGCTGCTCCATCAGCCCTGCCTATACAGGCCCCTGTCTGTGCCTGCTCTGGTGACATCACACCCCTCACAAGTGATGTCACTGCTGCTCCATCAGCCCCCCTCAGGCCCTGTCTGTGCCCATTCCAGTGACATCGTACCCCTCACAGTGACATCACTGCCACTCCATCAGCCTCCTTCAGACCCGTCCCTGACTGTTCCGGTGACATCATACCCTTCACAGTGACATCACTGTCACTCCATCCCTGGGCACTGGGCTCAGGGGAGGTCCAGGGCCCAGCACACCGTGGCATGCTGAAGCTGGTGAAGCCGCCCCTCTCCCACAGGGCCCATGCTGTGCCATCAGCCCCACAGTGACACCATCACACACAGCTCCAGGTGTTTCCACGACAATCTTCTTTTTCACAAAGCCACACTATGGCGAGAGCGCCCGCAGTCCCTCAGCCATGCCCAAGGGCCAAGAGCGCGGCCTTGGCAGCATGGGGGCTGCGCCCGTGAGGGGCGGGCAGGCACAGCTCGGGGCAGGGGCGGCCGGGGGGCGCTGGGCTCCGAGCCTTCTGAGCCTCCCTGGGCTCTGACACGTTCCTGGGCTCTGACACCTTCCTGGGCTCTGACACCTTCCCGCCGTGTGCCCCCCGGCCTGCCCCGGCCTGGCCTCCGCCGCCCGGGCCAGCATGTAGCTGACCTTGCGCTGGTGAGCCAGGGCCTCCTCCTTGTCGTTCACCTGCGGAGAGGAAGGAGAGCAGGCCACGGTCAGCTTGGGGTACTGTGAACCCAGCTAACACACGCACTCCAGGAGGTGAACCCAGTGACAGTAAACAATTTTAAAATCAAAAATTATGGGAATTAGAAAATTCAGGAAAAAGAAAATTCGGGGAGCTAGAAAGAAAGGCTTAGTAAGCCCTGGGAAAATGTTAAAGGTAGGCCCTGGAGAATGTTAGGCCTTGTGTTTGCTGTATCATGGGAAACTGCACCTGTGTAGTCAGTATATGATGAATGATATAATTGGTAGATGTGATTAGATAGAATTTTTGTTTAAAGAATCATAAGAAACTATGTTGGAGGTTTGAGGGGATCACGAGAAATCCATGCTTGGATGAAATCAATGTATACAATAGAACAATGTAAGTTTAAGAATTAATATGTAAGTTATATAATGATAAAATATAAATACACATTTGGTCGGGAACCATGTCAGGTCAGATCTGGGTCTGTACCCCTGACACCCAGAACTCTTCAACAAAAGCACCTGCATATAATCATTCCATGATTGTGTGTTCCTGAATGCTGACACAGGTACTGACCAGATCAATCAGCATCCTGAGGATCTCGTGGGCGCTGTCCAGCTCCTCCACCTTCCTGCAGTCCCCCTCTGACGAGAGCAAGCTGGACAGCTTCCTCCCCAGGTTGGTCTTGCTGCCCTCCAACTTGACGTGCTCTGTGGAAAACACAGGTGTGTCAGCTGCTGAACTGCTCAGGTAGGGAAAAACGACTTTGGGAGAAAGTAGGCACTTGTAAACCTGGATCCCATAGAAAATAATTTAATAATTTAAAATAATTTAGTTTTTTTTTAATACCATAAAAAAGGGCAATATGAGCTGCAGCTTCCCCCACTGCACAGGACATGGCAGGTTCCCACTGCTCCTGCTGTCCCACAAAGGCTACACAGACCTTACACGTAGGCACATTGAGAATTCTTTTTGCTCTATGGAAATTACGCTTTTGATGCTCTAGTTAAAGAATAATTCATGGTAGTTTGTTTTTAAACCATAAGTAGCCTAAAAAGTCCAAAGATTCTCTGACACAGGCCACAAACTTACAAGTCTGTAAGATTTCCAGAAAACACATTAAAATTAAGGAACAGATGTGCCAGTTAACGGAGCCTGAAAGCAATGGTGTCAGCATAGGGGAAACAGCTACTCAAGGTTATGCTGCTGTAGTGCTACACCCCAGGAGAGCCCAAGGGATCTGGGAGACACACCACACTTCTAAGCCTGGCACCTCCTGGCCAATGGTCAAAACAAAGATATTGTGCCATTCCTGAAGTCTGCAGTGGTTCTGACCATGATGTAAGCACTTAAATACTTCTCTTTAACCCTTTTAAATTTTTTTTTTAAAGAATAAAATATTATTAGAATTATTCTTATTTACAGATTGGAATTCTTCCTCTTTTACACAGGGCTTTGTAACTCTGTATTAGTGTAAGAAAACTAATAAACACTAATATTAATACATATGCATAATTAAAGGATAAAAATATTCAAGGGAAAAAAACCATCTGTTTAGTACTCCAGTGAATTTTGGAGTGGCCTGGGTTAGAAGAGACCTTGAAGCTCATCTTGTTCCACACCTTCCACTAGACAGGTTGCTCAATACCCCATTTGGAGCTCCAAATACACTTTTTTCCTTCTTGCATTTCTCCCCCTTCCCCAACTCTTCCACGGAGCTAACTTGAAACAAAACCCCCAACACCAGAGCAGTTGCTGGTAGCACACAACCAGCCAGATGTCAGCTCTCCTCAGCGCAGTGCCCAAGCCCTGCTCAGCAGCTCAGGCACCAGCACACATCCAACAGGGGCAGAAGAGGCCCTGCTCTGCCAGCCCCACACACACACACAGACAGACACACAGACACACTGCCCAGCTACCAGCGCCCCGCAGGCGTCTCCAGCTTGCAAATCTGCTCTCCTTCTTCACATTGATCACTTCTGCCAGCCTCAGGGCCTGCTCCTGCCTCTGCATCAGCTGCTGCTCAAACGCAATCCTGAAGGCATCTGCCATGATGTATGCTTCATCCTTACTCTTCTTCAGGTTTTCCATCTGGTTTTAGTTCAGGGAAAATTTAAAGCGTGTTAGATAATTTGGAAGCAAAAGCAGATTTAAAATTAAGACACAGACAGCTTGCAAGTAAATATAATCAAGGAAGCAGCAGGAACCAAAGGGTTTTCCTGACATGTAAAGAAATGGATTTTGAAACATGCACTATGGTCCTAACTCTTCATTGTCTGCAAATATTCACATCCCCAGCCACCTACACAATCATTTCTGTGTATTTATTTATCTCTGCACATCTACAAGAGCTCAAGGAGGGAAATAATAACCCATCACATCCAGGCCAAGCAAGAAAAAAAGGAGCAGGAGATTGGAGCCCATATGAGAGACCTAAAGGGACAGGCCAGCACCTATTTTCAAAACCAGTTAGCCAACTGCAAGTTCTGCAGCAGGACCACAAGGATGGCTACCACACTTGCAGAGTCAAATACAAAATAGAAGAAAAATTGTAAATCCACACAGTTTCACTAAATAGAAAAAAATTAGGAGCCTGGAATTCACATAACTGATTTAAGTGTGAGGTTAAAAGGTATTTTCCAGCAAGATCAGCTTGCTGCCCTAGCTGAGTGAGCGGGCTGTGGGAGCTGATGCCAACAAGGGAGGGGTGAAATGCACTGCCAGGAAGGAAGGGAAAGGTTCAGTGCTAGTCCACATGCACAGTGTGTACATTCATGGAGAGCACACACTTAGGGCGTGTTCCCTTTTTTCAGATTAAAAAATATGAGAAGAAAGAAAAAGAATGCAAAATTTTTTTTTAAACTAGTAAAGCTGAGTAGATAAAAATAAAATTTTTTCTACCAGCAAAAGTTATGGCATTACAAGCATCACAAACAAACTTTACAGTGTTTTGAGATCCATTGTGGGTTTGAGAGTTTGTGTAAACAGTGTCTGGGTGTTTCTGGCTTTGTTTGGACTGGTGCAGGAGCACCCCCTCCTCGTCCCCACGCTGCCAGGCCTCCTCACCTCTTGCTTGAGATGAAGGAGCTGCTTCCGAGTGAGAGCTGCCACTCTGGCACACGGGCAGGGCTGCCCCTTGGCAGGACTGCAGGTGCAGGCTCCCAGCACTGCCAGCTGGAACACAGAGCAACCCCGAGGTCAGCATCTGCTCACAGAGGTGCGAAAAACGCCAATCACTTGTTCTTGAAATCTTAAAAGTTTAATAGGAATAAAATGGTTGTAAAAATAGTAATATAATTAGAGTAATAATAATAATTTGGACGATTTGGATTAGGACAATATGAGACAACAGAAACAAAGAGTTATGGACAGTCCAGGTACCTTTACTGGGCAAAATAAGCTCGATAAAGGACCCACGTTAACAGAGGATGAACCCTTAAAAACAACAGCCTGTTGCATATTCATACACCTCATCCATGATGCATCAATTCCATTCCAACACAGGATTCTGTCTGGGCAGTGTCAGCTGCTTCCTCTGAATCCTGACAGCTCTTCAGGGCTGAGTGAGGCAGGAAGAAGTTCATTTGTTCTGATAATGGAGCAATAAATTCCATTTCTCTGAAAGATTCAGGTGTCCTGTGGCTGCTATCTCAGTGCCAGTCCTTTCTTTAGAAAAAGTATCTTACATAGCAAAGTTGCTATTTTAACCTTATAATCTAAAACTAAATTTAACACATTACTTAAAAAATTATTACAGAATCACTTTCTAACATAACACTTATACTATTCATTGTAATATTTGCCAAAAGCCAATCATAAAATATGCATTTTTCACAGAGGGGCCAGCAGAAACCCCCCCCGGAACCATGAGCAGCTGCGGGAGATGGAGGGGAATGACTCACAGTGAGAGCTGTGTTTTCAGGCAAAACCTGACAGATGGGTGTGCCACACCCTGCAGCCCTCACTGGCTGCTGCTGGGCTCGGTACAGCACCAGCAACCACGGTCAGGTGCTAGGCAGAATAAAAATAAGCATCACAGCTTGTGAAAAATAGCCTGATGCCTTCTCCTGCCTGATCTTTCTTTGCAAGGTGGACCAGGAAGAAGAAAACTGATTAACAGGCATGCAAAGGCATGTGCGAATTAGCTAAAAATGGGTTCAAATAAAAGGATGTGTTATGAGCAATTATATATATATATTTTTTTTTTCTCTGTGTCATTTGTACACAATGTGAAAAATGCATATTTTATGATTGGCTTTTTGCAAATATTAAAATGAATATTATTTGTGTTATGTTAGAAAGTTATGCTCTCTTAATTTTCTTAAGTAGTGTGTTAAATATAGTTTTAAGTTATAACAAAATGTTAAAATAGAAACTATGCTATGTAAGAAACTTTTTCTAAAGAAAGGACTGGCACTGAGATAGCAGCCACAGGACACATGAATCTTTCAGAGAAAGAGAATTTATTGCTCCATTATCAGAACAAATGAACTTCTTCCTGCCTCACTCAGCCCTGAAGAGCTGTCAGGATTCAGAGGAAGCAGCTGACACTGCCCAGACAGAATCCTGTGTTGGAATGGAATTGATGCATCATGGATGAGGTGCATGAATATGCAACAGGCTGTTGTTTTTAAGGGTTAATCCTCTGTTAACCTGGGTCCTTTTTCAGGCTTATTTTGCCCAGAAAAGGTACCTGGACTGTCCATAACTCTTTGTTTTTATTGTCTCATATTGTCCTAATCCAAATTGTCCAAATTATTATTACTCTAATTGTATTACTATTTTTACAACCATTTTATTCCTATTAAACTTTTAAAATTTTAAAAACAACTGATTGGCGGTTTTTCACACAAAAACATATCTCTGAAGCAGCCATTTGGAAAAACATATAGGCAATACTTACTTCAAGACCTGTGAAATCAGTGATGTCACTTTTGTTCAACATGTTCTCCTGAAAAACTTTCTGTTGTTTCACATCTAGCATTGCAAGGAATTCCAAGCACTGCTGGTTCAGGACTACAAAATAAAACAAAGGAAGAGAATTACAAATATCTCCTGCTCCGACTTCTTCATTTCTGAGTACAACTACACCTGAATGAAGCAGCTTTACAGCTCAAGCATCAGTTTGGGAACAAGATGAGTGTGTAGAAGGCGAAACTCATCTCCCAGTTGTTTCTCCTGGTGTGTTCTTCCAGAAGTAATGGCCCACTTAGAGAGAGAGCATTTCCTGTATTGTTCTGCCTCAGGACTGAGTGCCCATCTCCTTGTACACTCAGAAGTCAGGCAGCCTCCCATTTAGAACAGCACAACATTGGGAAAGAGATGATTTAACTCAGCTATTTCAAAGCTTTTTGGAAGGCAGAAATGAAGGAAAGGGACTTGGGTCTTCTGATTCAGTGGCTGCCCTGGCTGCTTTCCAGTTTAATTTCCAGGCTTCTGCAGATCCACTAAGATCAGCTGCCAGGAACAAGACGTTGATCCCCACAGGAATCTTCCACCCCAGCTAAAACCTGATTTATTCCTGAAAAACAGTGTATTCAGAGGAATAGCTGCTGCTGGCTTACTTGCATTTTCAGCCTTAAGTGTTTTAACTTCTTCTGTCCTCAGTTTCAATGCTTCCTTAAGAGCTGCATTTTCACAGTATATCCTGGAGAAGTCAGAAAATGGCTTTATTATAATCTTAAAAATGTTTTTAAGTGGGCACTCAATAATTTAAAAAATAACCTATTAAAATATGGTATCTAATATTTCTGAAAATTAAAATTAGGATTACTTGAAAGACAGAATAAAAAAAAATCAAAAGTGAAAGGAGTTGAGTACTAGATATACATTAAAAAAAATCCCAAACCTTCATGTGTAAGTAGGCAGTGCCCATAGCTTTAACAAGATATTAGTTTAAGTGCCACATTTCCATTAGAAATGCAAAGAAATTGGTAATTATGAACCTCTGAAACACTTGCTAGAAATTTCCTATTTCCTTGAAGGAACAAAAGTGACATTTGAGGAGCACAGCTCTGGTCTGTAAACTTCCTGTAGTCTGAATCCTGTTTTCAAGAACAGCTGTGCCTTCAGGTGTTGCTACGTGAGAACACACAACACACACTGATAATGCATTTTTCCTTGAAGCATTTCCCTCTTGAGCAGAACACTGGCAATCCAGCGTCCTAAATGTCAAAGCAATACAATTTATTTGGTGCACCTCAGCTCTCAGTAAATGCAGCCTTGGAAAAAACCCAAGGGAAATGCTTGTTCTTCTTGTCCTGCTGCCTCAGATGTCAGAAAACTATCAGAAAAATATGAGATGCTGTGCAAAGCAGGCTGAGCCCCTGGCTGTCAGCTTTCTGAAGCTATGTCTGTGTCTTCCACCAGCCAACAGCAGTTTTGTGGCTCCAGACTGCACAGCCACATTTCCAACCTACTCAGTCAGGAAAGCCAGAGAGCCTTTCAAGAGGCATCCCTTGACAAATGTGTCTCTGGAATAGTTTGTAAACTTGTGGCTTACTCTTTGATTCGAAGCTGAAACATATTTAAATATAAAACCATATTCTGATTTGTAAAAATGACAGCAAAAATATTAACAAATAATGACAATAACAACTCTGATGGGTAGACTTCAGAGATACAATTTCTACATGTAAATGAGTGAGCCTGCTGGTCCCATTTCTCAAGGTCTGTTATGTATAATTAGTTTAGAGCCTCTGGCACATTCCTCTTGCCCAGCCACACCTGCTGTCCACCCAGAGTGACTCCTATTTAACAAAGAACCTCTTGATCAACCTCTCTCTCAGGCACTGCATTTTACCTGTACTCATGCCCAGACCTACAGTGCCAGACAATAAAGAAATGATTAACCAGGAAATTATATTTCCACACGCATGAACATACCATTATTTTCTCTGCCTCATCTCTGGTTAAGGTAAATAAGGATAATCAATCCCCCAGCTGGCTAACATCATATGATTAAAAAAAACTTAGCCTAGCAAAGCCAGCCTACAGACACCTAAAAAAAAAAGAAATCAGGACGATACATCTAGAAGTTTTAATTGAAAAATACAAATGTGACTAGTGTGAAAAATCAAAATGGTTCAGAATTTGGAAAGGAATTGGGAAAATACAACGAACCTGGGGAAGCAAGTTTGGAACACAGGACAGAAGACATAGAGCACTCAGTGCAATTTTAAGAATCAAACAAAAACCCCAGTGATACACAGTGTAAGCCAAATACCTGTCATATTTTTCCGTCCAGGTGTCTTCTATGTTTTTAAATCTGTCCTGATCAAATTCAATTTCCCACTGCAAAATATTTATTTCCTGTGGAAACAAAACAAACTTACAGCAGCTCATTAGAGGGTTCCCCCCAGAAGGGTGCCAGGGATGCTGGGTTTGGCAGAAATCTCAGAGACAATCTGAGATCAAATAACAAATAACAGATTTGGTACCAGACACCAAAGTTTCTGCACCACTGGCCTAGGGACTCCAGTCTCTGTTCAGAACTACTCCTTCCAGAGGCCTCCAACAGAGACAAACCCACGCTGTCCCACCTCCCTGTCCCACTCCCATGGTGTGGAACAGAGCAGCAGAGAACAAGAACCTTTGTTCTTCTAGGAGGAACAAAGCAAAGAACTCAGTTTGACAAGGGAGCTCTACACCACCTCCCTCCTAAAACTGGGCAGCCATTCTTCAGGGTCCCTGGGAAGCCTCAGCTGAATCCCTGAGGAGCTGTGCAGCTCACTCTGGGCAACTGAAACCCTCAACCAACACCAGCTCAAAGTGCAGGAGGAGCTCTGGTGGTTTTACAGTATTATAATTATAGCATGAAAAGGCCGAGATCCAAAGGGATAAATTAATATTTCCCCTTTCTACCAAAAAGGGACAGGAATTCCTTTTATAAAACCCCTGGAATTAATGTCAGTTAATAGCACATTACATAGACAGTCTGATAACTCCTTTTTAATAGCCATGGGCTTCTCTGTGTGAAGGAAACACCCACACTTACCTTCTCTAGAGTCCTCTTTTCTTCCTCAGTTTTCTGAAGCATTGCTTTTGTATGGCTCGTGGCTTTATCAAATACTGCCTGCAAAATCAACAAACAACCAAAGCAAAACCCAAAATGCAACTCTGTCAAACGCTGTGATTAAACTGAGTTAATTTTCAGTTTCACACCCATAGTCAAACAGTAGAGTGCAGAGTCACAAACACCAGCAGCCTCCTCGTGAGCCCCAGAGGGTTCTGATCTCAAGTCTAACTGAGCACAACAGACTTTTTGGGTTTCAATCCCAGAACCTCTGCTGCATCATTCAGCTTGAGATCGTGTCTTCTTCAGGAAATCACACCTTGAACAACTGGGTTACAACACACCTAAGCTCTGATCCAGGCCTAACTGGCTACAAATATGTGATGGTAGAAACTACACAATTAGAAATGGGTTATGTAAGTAGGTTAAATTCCAGGAACTGATTTCAGCAGAACATGTTATGAAAGAGAATAAGAATACTACAAACGGTGAACAAAAGAACAACCTGACATTTAAGGCACAGTGTCCTCTAGGGCAGCAGATGGAGCAGCCAACTCAAAATACTCATGCTTTGCAGCAGGATTTCAAGCACTGCCTAAATCTTCAATATAAGGCACTGCAAAAAGCCCTTAATTTTATCTTTAGTAGATAAATCCTCAAGGATTGTCAAAGCTAAAATTATAAGAATTGCTACAACACTAAAGTCTTCTTAAATAACACACTAGTTGCAGTAAATTGTAGAGGCAAGTCTGTGGACACCTGCAGACTCGATGATGTAAATTGCAGCCCTGGGAAGGCCTTAAGGTTTTTGAGGTTTTGATGAGGACCAGCAGAAGATTTCCTCTGTTTTCCTTGTTACCACCAAGAGATTTCTGAACAGCTCCTACCATGCTCTGCAGGATTCTTAGGGCTTCATCTTTTCCTTCAAGCTGTCTTTGAGATGCTTCAAGCTCAACCTTCAGAATTTCAAGTTCCTGAGGTAAAGCAAAGTAGACACACTGAGTAAAAGCCAAGATAATTCTGATAAGAGTTGGCTGTAAAACCAATGTAAATTCGCCCTCCTCAAAAAACAAACCTCTGTTTTACCTGCATGATGTCTTTCCATGGGCTCACCTGAGGTCAGAGAACACAGTGCAGGTGGAATGTGTATTTTTACAGCTGAAGTCAGCTGGCTGTGATGCTAACACCTCAACACATTTAACCACAGTAAAATCAAAATGTACTGTTAACTACCTTTCAAGAAACATGCAGACTAAAAATCCAAAGATTGTTTACACATTTTCAAGCCCCAAAGCTTAATAAAACATAAACATCTGCTAGAAAGGTACAGCAGTACCTTCACTATTCTCTCCATCTTTAAAAATATTTTGTAAACAAACCCCCCAGAATATAAAGTACACAAAATCACACTACAATTTCCTAACATAAAATTTAATGAAACTTCCAACTCCTGCTGTAATTCCAAGAACCTGGGTGCACCCAAGTCTCCCAGCATGCCAAGGTCCTCTTGCTACATGGAAGAGAAATGCAGATTTGGAGAGCAGCACCCTGGGCACTGTTACCAACCTCCAGAGCTTCCCGAAGCTGTTGCTTTAGTTCCTCATTTGACACTTCAGTATTAGATTCTGTAGGATCCATAGAAGAGAATAAATGATAAGATATTATGACATTTAAATTTTAAAAAAAGTGAGGATTTTACCCTGAAAACAGGTAACATACAAAGGTGAATTTTCATCTTTGTGTTGTGCGGTTTTTTTTCTTGTGGACCTAATAAACAGATTTAAGAAACACATCAATACAATCTTCAAACACATTGCTTCAGAGTTGAAGAAGTGAAATGGGGGAAAAATGTCAGCTGTAAAGAGACATAAAATAAAGGCAAACATCTTAAAACTTCCTTTAAAATAAAGCCAACAAAATTGCCATCTTGATTTTTAAAAAATTGTTTAGATTCTTTTCTGATTGTAACTTTTCAACATCCACACTCAAAACAACAGCTAGCACTATTTAGAAATAGGGGCAATTTTCAGGAGGCAGAGATAGCTCAGCTTACTGTGAAAAGTATGACAGGGAATTGTTTAGAGGAGAGAAGTAAGTAAGTTACACAGAAATACCTCAGTCAAAATATTAAAGATTGACAGGAAAGCAGGCAGACTGTAATGAACAGCACTGCCTGCATTTGATTGTTTTTACAGCAGCATTGCCTTCACAAAGAAAGGAAGATGAATGCCAATGCAGGTTCTGAAAGCTACTTCCTAACCCCTAATGTAAGCCAATTCACTAATTTCAACTAAAGAGCAAAAAAGATTTTGAATATTTAGCTATAAACTTTAGGAACTGCCTTTGGGAAGATTTTAACTGACTTAAAGCAGGAATCCAAGCAGTGCCACCCAATTTCACAGACACAGCCAAACCCATGCTGGTACACCCACCACAGGATGCTCTCTGATAAATGTTGCTTTCAAATGCAGAATTAAGCACCTTAAAACTGGACATTTTACACTAAGAATGGCCACTGCCTTCAACACTGAGAAGCAATTCTCCTGCTCATGTTCTGGGAGGAAGCTGGAGGATCCCAGCCCTTCAGGGATTTTGGCAAGTGGTTCGAATTAAAAGTGATGACACTTTGTGAGGCAGCTGAACGGCTCACTTCCACTAACAAAAACCTTTCGTATGGTGAATAATTAACTTCCAAATTACTCTTACCACAGCTATTCTGCCGTGTGGAACTAGAGGCAGGTTTTTTGAGTGATCCATCGTAAAAGCTGTTTCGTTTTGGAGCAGGAAGAGCTGCAGCATCACTTTCTTCTGCTACCTTTGCTGACAAGGGGGAATTACAAGTCTTTCCAGACCCCTTCCTAGATCTAACTGAATAGGAATTTTGTAAGTTTTCCCCTTCATAAACACCTCCCGGTCTTCTCCCCAGTCCGTTTCCCAGGTCTCCACATGTCATGTCATCCTCTTCTGCTTCCTCCATCTTCTCCTCCTGGCTTTTTTTCAGGTTTCCCGTTGGTTTGGGGTTTTTTTTCCCTGACCGAGGGCCCCTCACCTACCGGTGAACAGCGCCTCCCGCAAGGCCAGATTTCATCTGGAAAAACAGGAAAGCTCCGCGTTTACAGCAGCAGGGCGAGCGCCGGGAGGGAAACGCGAGGCTGCGGGAGCCGGGGCTGCCGAATCCCCGCTGCCGCCCGCGGTGAGACCGCGGCCCGGGGGGGACATTCCCGAGGGGACACACCTGGGGGACACACCTGGGGGACCCCCCGGCCCCGCCCGGGACCCCGACCCACCTGCGCGCCCGCCGGCGGCTGCCGGAGCGGTCCCGCCCCGGGGCGGCTCCGGGAGCGGCTCCGGGAGCGGCTCGGAAGGAGGGGTTTGCCCATTTCTGGTTTTTATCATTCGGTTTGCTCATTTATCATGGTGTTGATCCCCGTCCCCTGCACGGCCCGGACCCGCGTGGGAACGCGAGCTGCGGTGACCAGGCACGGCCACTCCAACTGGTCACATCCCTGTTCTCCCGGACTGGGGCTGTCCGGACACCCCACACATTCCCCTCACCTGTTTCCTGCTCTCGGCAGCCTCTGCCCCAGCTGCCACAATGCCTGGCCCAATTCTCCCAAGAGACACACTGTTTTTCACCGTTTTGGTTTATTATATCATCACTTTTCTGTTGCAGTATTGCTGCACAAGTGTCACCAAAAAAAAAAAAAACCCCAAAAAACCCAACAGCACATTTGGAATAAAAAATAAAGCTGCAAGTATGTGACAACAACACTCTTCACAACAGAATTTCTCAAGAAAGTTGTTTTACTACCCAAACTTGTGTATATAAAGGGTTTAGAAGCAAGTACTTCCTACAGAACCTTCCACAAGGCTTTCCTTCCAAGCAGCTTTTCTGTGCGGACCGGTTTCCTGTTCCTTGTGCAGCCCTGCCCCCCTGGGGCCCAGGCTTTAACAGCACTCAGAACAGATCCTGCTGCATCTGTGACCATGCTCGGGATTCCTGCGGGTCTGTCCCGACACAGCATGCAGCTCCTGGGTCATCCTCCCATCACTGGGACAGGGAAGACAGAGAAAAAAGGAAAAATTAAGTTTATTGTTTAACACTCCAGACCAGTGCTCGCATAGCTAATGTTTCCTTACACATGAAGGAATCTCCAAAGCCCCGTGCAATCATTTCAAAGCAACTCTCACATCACTTGTCTTCCCTCCAACACCTTAGCCTGCAGCAAACCCTCCCAATCTGCATTGTCCTCACATGCCTACAGTGCAGCACAGCAGGTTTTAGACCCACAACTCAAACCAACTCCTTTCCAGGACACTGTTCCACCCTCTGGAAATCAAAACTGCTTCAACTGCCACCTGTTATCAGCAGGGTTTTACAGTTTTCTCACAGGGAATTCATGGTTTGGTTTTAATTGTAAGGTCTAAAGAATTCACAGTTACTGAAAACAGCTCCTGGTACTGAGGACAACCGCCTCATTTTGATCCTTTCAGTCACTTCTCCTGCTGTATCAGTTTTATCAGTATCAGTTCTCCTGTTGCCTCTTAGGGTGCTGTTACACATCCTCACACACCCTGGCTACTCTGAGTCTTCTCCTACTCCCCAGCCACTTAGAACAAAGTTCAGGTTCATTTACAGTACAAGAATTACAAACATAATTTATTAAACCCTCCCTCCCAAAAAGAGATACAGCAGTTACTGTTTCATCAAAAGTCAGTTATTGTCCTTCATCCATTGCTCAATCCATTGCATAATCTGATCCAAATTTCTCTCTAGGTCCTCTGGAGTGTTGCTGGGTAACTGGTGCACAATTTCCTTTTTATAGGACAACACAGCTTCCTCATACAAAGTCTGAAAAATTTCGCACTGAATGTTGTCCTGCAGCTTCTTGCCCGTGTAGCCCCTGGAGAGAGAGCAGCGAGAGGCAGAGTGAGGCACAGAGGGAGGCTGAGGAGGGGTTTTGGGGCCGGTGCAATGACGCCCAGGTGACAGACCTGCTGTGCAGCCTATCGTACAGACAGGAGTTGTCTGTGCGCAGCACAAACACGATGTGGAACCAGCGCTCGGGGAAGAAGTCGCAGCCGTGGTAATCCACAATCACCCCTCCCTCGCTCATCCTGGCCTCCAGCTCATCCACTACCTGCACACAGAGGGGGGGAGAGGTCAGACTCACCTGGAAATGCACTGAGAGAGACAGGGGGGTTCACCTGCACTGCTCAGAGAGCAGAGGGGTGGCCCGGGGGCTGCACTCACCCTGTCCTCATCCAGGATGGGGCAGTTGTACTCCTCATCAAAGCCTTCATAGAGCTCTCCTGCAGCACAGAGGAATCACAGGTGTTTGCTGGGTGCCACAGCAGTTACCACGGTAATTTAGCACAATAATTCACATTTCTGTTTTTGTCTCAGGAGATTGCAGGCAAAAGGCAGAGTTCAGGGTAGGGAGCACTTTGTTTACAAATGCATGTAAGTATGAGTTTGTCATTTATTACTTAGCACCAAGTGTGCTGCTACAGACATGCCTGCTGAAGTAAATTAATTTAATTTTAATAGAACCGCATGTTGGTCTGGCCTGGAAGGGACCTCAGAGCCCACCCAGTGCCACCCCAGCCATGGCAGGGACACCTCCCACTGTCCCAGTGTCCAGCCTGGCCTTGGGCACTGCCAGGGGTGCAGGGCCTGCCCACCCTGCCAGGGAACAATTCCTCATTGCCAAGATCCCATCCAGCCCTGCCCTCTGGCACTGGCAGCCATTGCCTGGCTGCTGTCCCTGCAGCCCTTGTCCCCAGTCCCTCTGCAGCTCTCCTGGAGCCCCTTTAGGCCCTGGAGGGGGCTCTGAGCTCTCCCTGGAGCGTTCTCCTCTCTCACAGCCCAGCCCAGGTGTCCCAGACAGGTGTGCAGGGGCTCCCAGTGCCCGAGGCAGCCCAGCAGAGTCCCGGCCAGCAGCTCCACAGAGAGAGAGAAGGGCTCTCTCTGTCCCCATGTCACAGCTCGGGGCTGCTGTCACACAGCACCTTCCTTGGCCAGGTCCCCCACGTTGACATAGCTCAGCCCAGATCTGGAGGCCAGCTCCTTTCCCAGCGTGGTTTTCCCAACTCCCGGCGTGCCTGCAGAACAAACCGCAGCCAAAGGTAAGGGGAGAGCTGCAGGTCTCCACGGAGAGCCCCCACCAGGCGCCCTGGAGCCTTCTGACAGCCCACATGGCAGAGTTCATGGGCTGAAAAGGGGCAAAAAGCTGCGGGACAAAGAGAAACAGGCTGGGGCAGTGAAACGGGAAAACAGGGAGAGAACTCGGACTGTGAGCACGAACGCCATTCCCAGCGTGCGGGACCCAAGGGAAATCCGCACTCCTTCGAAAACCCCCAAGTAACACAGAGGAGATGCACGCTCTCATGAGGGAGAGGAGCTGCAAAGCCACCCCGGGCTGCACCCACAACCCGGAGCAGCCAGGCTGCTGCCTCACACCGGAACCGCCCCGGGCTGTGGTGGGGCCCGGGCCCCGACCCCAAATCCCGCCGGGCTGGAACCCCCCGCCCCGAATCCCCTCAGGCCGGGCCAGGGCTGGGACCCCAGTGAGCCCACACCCGCAGCTCCCCGGGCCGCGATGGGGCCGTGCCTCGCTGCCCCCCAGGGTCCCCGGTTCCCACCGGTGATGAGCACGTTGGGCCGCCTCATGGCTACCGCCCGTCGCCTTGGAGACACGTGCGCGGGGGCCTCCGCCGCCGCCGCGCGCGCCGATGGCGTCACCGCGCGCGCCCGGCGCGGCGCGGACAGCTAAGAGCCGGTGGGGAGGAAGGACCCCTGGGCGCCGTGTGAGGGGACGCGGCCGTGCCGTGCCGTGCCGGTAGCGCAGCGTCGGCAGCCCCCGGGACACCGGGACGGGTCACACGGGGCTCGCCCTGCCCCTGGAGCCACTCCGAGTCCCGCGGCACCCACTCCCCTGGCCTTGGATATCCGGCCGGGCCCGGCGGGGGGCTCCCCCGGCCGAGGATGTCCGGCAGCGGCCCAGGACGGCCGGCGGAGGTTGGTGTCATTTATTAAAGAATGCTTATTCTTTATAAATAAGGGCTCTCGGCGGCCCGGTCGTTCCTCCGTGGGCTCTGTATTTGTCCTCTTTCAGGGGGGCTTGTTCTGATTTTTACTGGGAGGGATTCGGTTTGGTGTCATTGCGTGTGGGGGGGACACCAAACCGAATCCCTCTCAGTAAAAATCAGAGGGGCTCTGATTTTTAAATTTCACGGGGATGTTGCGGGTAGTGGCTGCAAATTCGTCCTTACGCGGTGAGTGGGGCAGTAACGGTGCCGGGGCCGCCACTCTGTCCCGGGCACAGAGCGAGGGACAGTCACAGCTTGTCAGGGAAGCTCCCGCTAGATCTCAAGGTGCGGGAGGGACCCCCAAAACCTCCCGTAAACCGCCCAACACCCCCGGCTTCCCAAACTCTCCGAGAGCAGACTGAAATCAGTGCTGGACGATGTTAATGCCAATGAGCAGTTGCCGCAGGTAGCGGGCAAGACACGGTGAGACATGTAAGGACATATCTGAGAAAGAGATCTCCAGGATACGGTGATGGTCTGGACACGGTCTCAGCCACAGGGGGGAATCCCAGATCCTCCGGGTGCAGTCTGTGGGGTGGGGAGCACCAGGTCAGTGCACGACCTGCCTGTCACACACAAGAACATCCAAGAAGCAGCCATGTAATGTACTCTGAGTGAAGCGGACTTTTCCTTTCAAAGTGGACTTTCTCCATTCGTTTTCCTTTCACTAGGGACAGATAGGAATGTGCAAAGGCTCCTGCTCCCCTGGCATGGCAGGAGCAACCTCTGACAATGTTCTCTGCCTCACAGAGGCTCCCTGGGGTCCCAGCCCAGGGGGACTTGGGGCCCAGGGTCCCGGCCCAGGGGGATTTGGGGTCCAGGGCCCAGCCCCCATCACAGTCCAGGGTAGTCACGTTGTGAGGAGGAGAGACCCCAAAACCTCCTGTAATCCACCCCACACCCCCAACTTCCCAACCCCTCAGAGAGTGCAGCTGGGTGTGGTGCCAGCCCCAGAGCTGTCCAGAGGGACAGGGCTGTGCAGATGGCACTGAGCCTCTCCTGCAGCACCAGGGCTGCCAAACAGATACATTTGATAATGATTAGACAAAGACATCTTAGCCAGAATTGTTCACAGGCACTATAACCACTGCTCTAGTGCACTGTGCAGCCACAGCTGAAACGTGAATTGTGTGAGCAGTGGGAATGTGAAGGAAAGGCTGGCCTTTACTTCTTGGAGGCATTTCCAGCCTTAGTGCTTCTGTGACTTTGAGCATTGGGGTGGCTGTGTGACAGCTGCAAAAGCAGTGGCAGAGCAGAGACCAGGCACACACACAGAACCTTGCTCACCCAGGCTGTGTGCCCATGGCTCAGCCTGCAGCCATGACCCTGAGATCACATCATCCCCCAGCAGCAGAAAGGGAAACATCAGGAGATGCTGCTGTGAAAATTTGGGATGGTGTAGGAGTGTCGGGGGGTGGGATGGTCGGAATGGATGGAGATGAGAGATCTCAGCAGCCAGGGCTTGGAATTTGGGGTTTGTTGCAAAGGGCCATGTGCAGGGCCCTGCTGGAGCTGCCAGCCACAGCTCAGAGCAGTAAAAAGAGAAGAGAGGGGTAAAGAGGATGAGAGGGTAAAGAGAGTAAGAGAGCAAAAGCATAAGAGAGCAAAAGGGGTAAGAGAGCGAGGTTACCGTTCCAATACCATAAATCTTCCTCTGTGTTGAATATTCTGATTCTCACTAACCAATCCAGTACAAGATACAAATCCTATAGCATTTACATACAGCCTGTAAGAATCATTACATTACCACACTGTGTTACATTTTAAACCCTAAAAACTCCTCTTTGGGCCCCTTCTGCCAAGCTGTAGGGTCTGCTCTGACCCTTGGAGCTGCCTGCAAGCAGAGGGTGTTGTTCTATCAAAAGGGGATCACCTTCAGCAGCCACACCATTGTTTTCCAGGTGTTCAGTAACTGAGGGATCTCAAGGCTTGCTTTCATTTCAGTCTCACTTGTAGTTTCTATATTCTCAAAATGTTTTGCCAGACAATCATATTTGTAAGGCTTTCCTGTTTCACCTTCCCCAAGAGGATGGGGCTTTGCCAGTCTGAAGTGCTGCCCTGCCAGGCTGGGCCAGCTCAGCAGCTCTGCAGAAGCTCTCAGTGGGGTCACTTGCTTGTTCCTTTCTCTGGGGATTTGTCCAACCCTGCCACAGCCTCGGCTCCCTCTGAGGATGTGGAACTTTGGGATGGAGGAGTCAGGCTGGTTTCAGCATTATTCACCCCAAAAGCAGCAGTGATCCCCTCCTGCATTTCCCACTGGGGCCTTGCAGACAGGGCCGTGCTGGGGTTGTGTGAGCCCCTTGCAGGCAGAGCCTCCTGCTCCAGCAGCTCTCAGTGTGCTGTGCTGGTTCAGGGCTCCACAGCCCTTTTGGGGGATGCAGTGTCTGCGCTGTCACTCCCATGTTCACCCAGCCTGCTGCCCCACACCGAGGGGCTGCCACGGCCCCTCTGGTGTTATTGGGGGTCAGTCTGCCTCCCTGCCCCAGCAGGGTGCTCCTCCAATCCAGAGTCAAACCCTGCTGCTGCTCAGCACTGCTCCTTGTCCTGGCACGGGCTCTGGTTCAGCGCAAGCTGCCCAGGGCAGCAAACACTCCCTGATTTCACTGTGCTGCCTCAGCAACTGTCCTCTGCCAAATGTTTCTAACCTTTATGCAAAAACGGTTGCATTGTAAATATTTTTTAAAAGCAGAGGAAAAGTGCCACATACTGAAGACTACACAGACACAGTGTAAGCATTACCATCATATAAAAGTGGTCTGAGTAAACTGATGCTGCTTTTCCATTAATTTTTAATTCTTTAGGTTGGATGTGAGTTTGTGGAGTTCTCACCTCGGTGATTTGCCACTTTGCTGCAGAATACTCCTGGCATAATGATGCAGCTCTCTTTTTCATACAGAAGAATCACAGAACCCCAGAGCAGCTGCAGTTGGAAGGACCAAATCCCACCCAGTGCCACCCCTGCCATGTCAGGACACCTCCCACTGTCCCAGGCTGCTCGCAGCCCCAGTGTCCAGCCTGGCCCTGGGCACTGCACACCTGACAAAATGTGCCATTCTCCAGGGCTAGCTGTGCCCGGCTGAGGGCAGGAGGGCGCCGCGTTGCTACCCAAAGTTTTGTGTTCCTGCAGGTGGCAGAGTGGCTGGCACATCCCTTTGATGGCTTCCTCGGGAGCACGGGCCCGTGTGCCGCCGCCGTGGGGCCGCGGAGGGGCGGCGCCGGCAGAGCCCGCGGGCAGCAGCAGCTGCTGCAGCAGCAGAGAGCCCCGAGCCCCGCGGCAGAGAAGAGCCGAGCCACAGCTCCTCGCAGGAAGAGAGCCAAGCCGGGAGCTGCGGACCCGCCCTGCAGCCGGGCCCTGGCGGAGCTGCCGTGGGTGGAGAGATACCGGCCTGAGAGCCAGGTGTGAGAGCTGCTGCACCACGGCACGGGCTGTGCCTCTGCCCCAGCCTGCCCCCGCACCCTGCTGGCAGAGCACACGGCTCCTGGGTCATTGCGTTGTCACTTCTGATGCATTCACTGCCTGCCACACCCCAGGAGCTCTCTGTCTGTGGCAGACACGCGTTCCCCCCAGGCTTCCTGAGCAGGAAAGTTGCTCAGGAGGTGGTGTTTCCTGTCAGTCCACTTGTAAGATCTCAGACCTGTTACTGAATTCCAGACACATCTGGTATTCCAAGCACTGGGGAAACACAGCTATGTGGGATTTGCAGAAGTTACAAAAACTTCTTCATTATTAGAGTAGAAAAAGTAAAAAGGACTAGCTCCAGCAATGTGGGATTTGCAGAACTTACAAAACCCTCTGCAGTAGAGTAAAAAAAAGTAAAAAGGACTAGCTCCAGCAAGAGCCATGACGTATCCTGACACAGACAAGATTGTAGTGTCACCGCTTAAAGAATAATAAATAGCTCATTATTTCCTGACTACAAGGAATGGGAAACTGATTGTTTGAGGAAACAGGATGAGATGATCATCCTTAACGGTGGCATTGCTTCTGCAGGGCACACATGTAACTGGAACACACACCAACATGTCTGTCAATATTTTATCCAGCATTTATTCTATTTTTTAATTTCATCATTTGAAACCAAGAGTTTAGTGTATATATATATATATATATATATAACTTTCACGTATTTTAACCTTGTTTCAGAATGACCTTGCTGTGCAAAAGAAGAAAATTGAGGAAGTTGAAACCTGGTTAAAAATGCACATAGTTCAGAGGCAACCAAAGCAGGTAAACTTGCTAAAATTGTAACTGGAGGCATCAAACCATACAAATGAGCTATGCAATGCAATTTCAGGTTCAGAGAGAAAGCTCAATTGAGGGAGATAGTGACTGTGTATCAATGTAAGAAATACTCTAAGAACATAGGTTAGAGCTCATACATTTATAATGGGCTTATGCTCCTAAGAAGTGGATTCTGATTTTGCTCAGAAATACTGTTTTCTGGCATCCAGTCATAAATCACAACTCCTCAGTATGTGCTTGAAGCTGCATTTTATCTGCCAGGCTGATTTTTTTCAGTCTCCTGACACATTTCCAGTTGCGCTGAGCTGGTGTAAGGGTGGTGAGGATGTTTTTAATCTCAATTGATAAGAGGCGTTCTTAGACACAAATTGCCAGCCTTGCCTGGTGTTTTCCAGAGCCAGTTCTTCAGGTGAGTGTCACATGCAGTTTATTTACCAGAGGCAGTGGGAACAGAGCAAGGCTCTCAGAGTCCTGGCTTGGTTCTCTCTGAGTACTCAGCAGGTGAATTAACAGCAGAAACTGTGTGACTGGGGTTTCACTGGGAGAGAGGATCATTACCAGAGGAACAGGAAAAGCTCAACCAGTATTCATCCTTAGCCAGCTGTCTGTCTTTATTTGTCACATCTGGATTATGTTTTGTACTTCTGTGTCAGAGTGGCTCTGTCTTGCTGCTGACTGGTCCTCCTGGCTGTGGAAAAACTGCAACTCTGCAAATTCTAGCCAGAGATCTTGGCCTTCAGGTGCAAGAATGGACCAATCCACTCTCTTTAGACTTCACAAAGGAAGACTTGAGGAACATGTTTGGCCATGGTAAGTATTTTGGGGGTTTGTCTTTTTAATTTTTTATTTCCACTTCCAGTTACTTTTGTGGGTTTTCTATCTTATTTTTTTGCTTCATTTCTGTCTGTCACGTATGAAATCAGATCCTCCATGTTAAGTCCATTCCTTAGTGTTTAATGGGACTCTCTCTGTGGCTTTTATCTGGAAAGGGATTTAGGTTTTTTTACAGTTTTTCATCCAAAATGATTGACACTTCAAATCAGTATAGAGAGTGCTGTAATAGCCGGGATGTAATCTGAACCAAAAGAATGAAAACAGGTAAGTGTCTCTGTCTGGGTTCTCTGTTGAATTACACCCCTTTAGAAATTCTCCTGTTTGTCACATGTTTGCCAAAGGGCTTGTTCAGTGCTGCTGTCAGAAAATAACATGGGTGGGTATTAGTTCATGTGGGTATTTATATTTTACTTGGCATAATATAGAATACATATTTTTAATTAGTTTTCTTTTTCAGACTCAAATTTTCATACGTTTCCGAGTCAGGCCCAAGCAGCTCTCTTTCAAGATTTTCTATTAAGAGCAAATAAGTATAACAAACTTCAGATGCTTGGGGAGTCCTCAGAAAATGATAAAAAGCTTATTCTTATTGAAGTAAGTGAAAACTTGTGCAATGTTGTGTTTCAAACAGTACCTTTTGTTGTAATATTGGCTTGCTGGCTGGCTTCAGATACTGGATTGGTGTTTCCCAGAGTTAGCCTGCTTTACTGCAGATGAGATCCTCATTACTGTTTGTGTCTCTGCAGCACTCCAGAGCCACGTCCTGCCTGTCGTTAGTTATGCCACAGAAGCAAGTAGTGAGGCAGATTTGGGAGTCTGCTGTGAGCACAAAAATGCATAACAGAGTATCAAAAAGCAGATCAATATTGAGAAGTCATTCCCACGTTTCTGGATGATTTAATTTCTAGAAGTATGTATGTGTATAAACAGGAAAAGTGGAAAACACACCACTGTTCCTATTCTTTAATGATGCAGGAGAGTGTAGGGGACTCTTGGGAATGAACACAAGCAGGAGCAGTTGAAATTTAGCACTTTCTCCCTGGTTTTACACAGGTGGTGTTGTTTAGGGCACAGGTGTGAACTGAGGGTTTGTGGGCAGGTACAGGACAAGGCTTTATTTGTACTTGCATAGAAGTGTGCTTCAATAGCAACTTCTTTCTGAACTTTTCAATTCTTTTCCCAAGAGAAATTTTAGAAATTGGTAGTCAGGTTGTCTGTAAACTTTCAAGACCAAAACAGACAGAAATTCTGGCAGGGTAATGTGATGTTCTGTGGAATTTAGGAACCAGATTCTCATGAGACTTGTCTTTATTAAGTCACCTTCTTGTGCACATGCTTTCACACCTCACATGGGTCCTGCCCTCTTCCCCAAGGGAGCTGCTTCCTGGAGTGCTTGTCCTCTGGGTGAAACTCCTGTCCACAGGCAGTGTGATCACCCAAGGCTGTGTCTTAGGGAACTGAGACAGCAAGAAAACATTTCTGTGTAGATGATCCTTTTCCTTAATGAGACATACTGTGCTTTGGGTTTGTTTCCTCCTCTGTCCAATGTCAGCTGTGCTTAAATGTAGTTGACAGCAAGCAAACCAGGAGTTGAAAATGTGTGACAATGTAGTGTGCCATGAGGATCAGTCTGTGGAGGAGAGTATTTCCATCTGAATGTCATGACAGCAGCTCTTTGTTTTGGACAGGACATTCCTAACCAGTTCTACAGAGATCCTGGCAGCCTGCATGAAATCCTCAGGTCAGTGGCAAATGAGTTGTTACTTGTGAGCTCTAACAACCTGCAAAGCTGCAGTTTGATATTAATCACATTTTGTTGTTCTGCTGTGCAGGAGTTTTGTTCGCAGGAGTAGGTGCCCCCTGGTCTTTATAATCTCAGATAACTTCAGTGGAGACAGCAACCAGAGGTCACTGTTCCCCGCTGAAATTGTAGAGGAGTTGTGTATATGCAATATTAGGTGAGATCTTCTACCTCAATCAAACACTGTTCAAATAACTGAGAGGTTGGAAACTAATAAACTAATATTTTTTTATTGTTTTTTTATGGAATTCAACAGTTTCAAGCCTGTTGCACCAACAAATATGATGAAAGTTCTCAATCGAATAGCTGCAGCAGAAGCCAGTATGGTAAGTTTTCAAATCTCTTAACTTTTCTGCAGGGCTAGGACCATATAAAAATATGTTATTTTTGTTGCTGTATTTGATCTTTGATAGCAGAGCCCCGAATCTCCCCAAAGAAAAAAAAAACAAAACGTTTTCCCCAGGACACCAGAAAGCAAGGAACAAGCTGGAAAGATACCCTGTTTTTAAGATTAGTTTCACTTGATCTGTGGTCCAAGTCTACAAAATTGCTTCTGAAAATTAGTCTGGTTATTTCAGTAACTATATAAATGAAACAAATAATAGGAAGAGATGTAATCTTTCATGTATCCACTGAGGCCAGAAGGGGTCATGAACCTAAATCTTGTATTGTTCCTGAACTGTTTTGATTACAAGCAGTATGATATTGAGTGACACCTTGCAAAGAATTATGTGCATTTTTCTCTTTAATATTGTTACATAAATTGTGGCAGTGTGCTTAAACGGATTAAGTTTTTTTAAGTCTATAGTATTCTGTGGTTTGAGCACATGGTGGATACTCATGTGTCTGTTCATGTTGTGTGGCAGAGGTGGGTTCCCAGAGCCATGTTTAAATGCTCCCTTTTCCTGCTCCTCTATTGCTTTGAATATTGCTGTTTTTCCAGTTTCTTCTATTGCTGTTTTTCCTTGTAGAACAGAGAGAATTGCACTCTTGATAGAACTTCTCTGGAGTTGCTTTGCAGAGGTTGTTCAGGTGACATAAGAAGTGCAATAAACAGCCTTCAGTTTTCTTCTACAAAAGGTAAAAATTAAGGTTTTGTTAGGTGAAGTGATGTTTTGACCATTTCTGCTGAAAACATGTTCTGTTCGCAGCTGCAGCACAGGTGGGTGAGTTGCAGAAACATCCTGGACACGCTTCTGTGGAGCAGGAATAAACACAGGGTGTGTGGGGGCGTCAGTGGGGCTCAGCTGCTCCAGGCTGGGCTGAAACCATGTGCGTGTGCTGATGTGATTTGATTAAATACCCCATTTTCTTCCTGATATCTCTGCTATTTGTGTTTGCTGTTCAGAGTTTCTATGATGCTGCCTTAGTTTGAAAGGGATACTTTCATTGCTTGGTTTCTGCATTTCCCAAACTGCTGATTTTATGAGCATTTTTCAAGTCAGTAGTTGTTAAGGAACCAGTGTATGTGAGTTGCATTTTTAAAAGCAGTACTCTGGTGTGCGTTGCTCATTCTCAGCACTGTGAAATTCTGACATTTTTGTCAAACTTAGGTCTAAGGAAACAGACTCACCACTCGTCTTCTGCTGTATGTGGTAGAGCTAGTAATGGTGTTGTTAACTGTCACACTTCTTTTCCCTCCCATTTGTTTGCAAGTAGCAAATGTGCTCATGGAATACAAGATTAAAGGTAGTTCTAAGCCCATTTTGCAAGAGGGAGAGTTTACTTTGGGGTTTAGGGCATATTGAAATTAGCTGGGGAGTGTCATTTATGTTACACAAGGCAGAGAGTAAAGTTTCTAGTTCAGCTTGCAGATGTTGAAGGTCAATTATTCTGATGATGTCTTCAGGTGTACCAGGCCTGGATTGTTCTGTGTGAATCAGAAAAATAGAGGATTATGCAATTGGAATGAGTGAACATTAGATTGGTGATATCTGAGAAAAGCATGCAGCATCACATCCTCCAGAAAATCTAAATAATGTTAAAATAACCACTTTGTGTAGTTTTTAATAAGTTATCTTAGAAATGTAAAACCATGACAGTTAGGGCTGGGGAGAAAATAAAGGCAGAGCTTTGGTGTGTGGACTGTTGGAGTGCACACTGAGCATTCTCCTCTCACATTTTCCCTGACTTTGAGAGGGTGTTTGAGCAGAACATCTGTAGTTGTGCAGGTATTTCAGTGATACTGTCAAGTTTTGGGGTTCCCCATCTCCTTGCTGGTCTCCTGAGCATGCAGCATTTGTTTTTATGTACATAAGGTGTGTTTCTTCATGTGTGTATCTATGTAAGTACCATTGATACATTTATTTTGTAACACTATTAATGGGTAAAATAGATCGATGGTAGTTGTAGGAGAAAAGGAAAATACCTAAAGGATAATTTATCTTAGCTCAGTAAGGAACATTCAAGTACCACAAAAGAAAATTATGGGTGAAAAATTTCAAGTTTATTAACTTAGAATAGAATAAGGGTTTTATTTCATGAAGCTCAAAACTTTGTGGAAGATAGTAGGCAGTTGGAAGAATCACCTAAATGAAAGGTTTTCTCTGCCAATTGATATTTCAGGGAGGGAGGTTATTGTACAGATAATGCCAGTAGAAGACAAAATTGATAAGTAAACAGGATGTAACTGAAATAACAGTGTGTAACTGAAATATAATTTACAAATATTTGTACTTGTTCTTTAAAAATGTGAAGTTTAAACGTGGTCAAGTGGGGAGTGTATCAGAACTAGATGGGATAAGCCTGAAGGCTTTTTTCAAAGACAGCTATTTGTTGTTCAGAAAAGTATTTGGTACCTCAGCTGTGCCTTAAGGGACAGAAGTGGAATGAAAGTAATGAATGATGCTAATTTAGATGACTGACTAATAAATGAGTTTTCTCATCGTGCTCCTGTTTATACAGCCTGTTCTGTTCCTTCTGTTAGTACTGTTCACATAGAACATCAGCAGCAGCATAATAGAAAACTTCTGCAGATACATGTACTCTGTCTTGATTTTATTTTTTATTTTATTAATAGGCTGCTCATTGGAGAAAGAATTTTGGTCAAAGAAGAAGAAGAGCTCCACAATAAAATGTGATGAAACAGGAGTATCCAAAGTAAGAAAGAAAAGTAAATGTAATACCTCAGAAGACCAGGAGATACAAGCCATTGGTGGCAAGGATGCATCCATTTTTCTTTTCCATGCTCTGGGGAAAATTATTTATTGCAAAAGTAAGAAAACTTTGACTTATTCTCCCTTTCAATGGGCAAAGCATGTCAGCTGCTATTAGCTGGAGTTGCTAAAGTAAGGCTTTGGATGGGCTCTGTTGGGATGTTTGGTCAGTAACAACAGCACAAAATCAGCTACATCAGGGTCCCTCATGCCACTGGCTGTGCACGTTTCGGTAGTAATTCCCAGTACTGGCTCCAGAACCAACTGAGGAGAAGTACTGAGGTGAGGAAATACAAAAATTATTTTGTTAGATTTGTTATATGAAGCTTAATGCAGATAATTCTGTGTTGATGACTGTGTTGTATTGACTATAATAATTAAATAGCTGTGCCTGTCCCAGGGCTTTCTGGGAATGGATAAGGCTGCAATTTAGCTGCTGGTGGAGCTGACAGTAGCTAACATTTGTGAACATAAAGCCTGTGCAATCCTTACAGGAGAGGCAGTGTCACAAGCAGAGTGCCCTCAGCTGCCTGCGCACCTGTCCGGACACCGCCGGGACACCTTGCTCATCCAGCCTGAGGTACTGCTGCAATGGCCCCAGGAGTTCAGCTGGGCCCCACGGGGGTGCTGCAGATCCTCAGCCACATGGGGATCCTTACTGCTCGCACCTGGTGTGCCCTCAGCCTGGGTTAGGGAATCACTCACCTGGGAGGGAGCCCTGGGGCAGACCAGCCCCTTGTGTCTGGGCATTGCTGCACAGGCCTTGTGTCCCAGCTCCCTGACCTAGATGTATCACAGCTTTTTGTACAAGGGTCCTTTTCCTTATCCACCTGTAAAATCCAAACTCTTCTTCTTCCTGACAGGAAATTGTGGAGAAATCTCACATGTCTGGAAGCATGTTCAATCTATACCTTCACCAGAACTACGTGGACTTCTTTTCTGACATAGATGATGTAGTGAGAGCCAGTGAATATTTGAGCACTGCTGATGTCCTTTGCAGTAACTGGAGTGTAAGTGTCATCTTTGTATAGACACACACTTATCTTTAACTACTTGGACATTGAACTCTCAACTTTTCACTGCATTTTTGGGAGTTTGCTGCAAACTTAGGGTGTGAGTGATTTGAATTGTTCATGAATGCTGAAGTACATCAGCTGCAGAAGAGATGCAGAGATGATGTTTTGTTCAGCTTCTGTCAGCATTTTATTACAATGGGCTGTAGTGTTTGTAGGATACTCTACAAAGTATTTTTGAGTAGAATAGATTCCTGCTAAGAAGCAATCAAACTGTTTCTCTAGTCAGCTGCTTTGAATACAAGTTTTGCAGTAGTCTAAACTCCAGGAGGCTGTGCATGCTGTGTGTGTTTCAGTGCAGATGAAGCACTGCCCGGAGCTCACCCAGGGCCCCGTTTCTCCCTCAGGCACGGCTGGTGATGGAGAGCTACAGTGCCTCCGTGGCCACCCGGGGCGTGATCCACTCCAACACCTCCAGGGCCTTTGCCCACCAGCAGGGGGGCATGGGCTTCCGACCCTTACACAAACCACAGTGGTTTCTGATCAACAAAAAGGTAAAGCCTTGATTTTGTTTTTTATTCCTTTTCCCCTAAGTTGTGACTCTTGAGGAGTGTAGATCAAATGTGATCACTAAGATGCTAAACTTGTCAAATACCCTATTTTGAGATAATCTGGTTCTATAAAGCACTTGCTAGAAGAGCAGTTTGCATCACTCCTTTAATGTAAAAATAAATTGGAGGCCAGTGACAAAGTCTGATGCCTGTGTCCAAGCTGGCATGTTCCTGGGAGAGTGTTAATCCTAAATTAACAGGGAGACAACTAAGTGCTGTTAAGTGTTCCTAGAACTGAGTCTGGTTTTGTGCAGTTTGGAGCACATTGAACTGTTGTATAAGAAATGCCTGCTGTTATAGTTTATGTGTTCAGGTGACACAGCAGGTCTTAGCATTTTTTTACTTTTGAACTAATACATTGGCAAAAAACATTGGCCTTGATGGGCTGGGAATTCTATAACCAAGGAATATATATTTTTTTTTTTTTTTTTTAATTTTAATGCCCAGTAAAAGGCAAAGTTGAAGGCTTCTACCATTTTAAGATTGGCATGTTAACTGCTTACCTTTTCTTTATCTGGTCTCATTTTTCAGTAGCTCCCTGTAGCAGGCAGGAAGAAAGTCTGTCTGTTATGGTACAGAACATCTACATTCTTAATGTTTTACCTGTTTATTCACTTGTGTTTTCCCCCCACCCCCACCTCTTACAGTATCAGGAAAATTGCATTGCTGCAAAATCCCTGTTCTCAAGCTTCTGTTTACCACCTGAGTGCCTTCAGACAGAGCTGCTGCCTTACCTTGCTGTGTTAGCAAACCCAATGAGAAACCAAGGTAAGATGGATCAAGGTAACTCCTGGTCTCCAAGTGTTTTTGCAGCTGAAACATACTGGCAAATTTCATAAGCCAAAAGGTCAGTACTGTTTATGTTTTTGCCTCAGCATAAAACATTCTCCTGGCATATGTTATGTAGGTGATGCCCAAAGATGCTTGCAGTACCAGAGCCAGAATTAAAGCTGCCCTGGTAGGTTGGTCAAACTGTAGTGGTTAAGGTGCTCTCTAGACCTAGGCTTTTGATTATATTTGCTGGAGGATTTGATGAGAAGAGTTTTGTAAACCCAGCAGCCAATGTTGACTAGATCTTCATTGCTTACTGATACCCTTCTGAGAAGAGAAGGGACTCTGCATGATTCCATGTGAATCAAGCAAAAGCCATTTATTGTGTCTCTAAACATAGTTTATATTTACTTCTTGTCTTAGTCTACACAATCATGCATTGTTTCATTGGCAGCTCTGCTTTGTCCACAAGGCAGCATACATCTTTTTATTAATCCAATGGATAGATGCTGTAAGAATCATTTTATTGGGGTTGACATCCCTATGTCTGCCAGCAACTTTTCTGCCTCTTCTTTCTTCTTGCAACATCAGTTTTTTTACCCACAAAGATGACCTCGTTCTTTAGTTCCAGGAGGTTGGGCTGGTTCATTTAGTACACCTCCATTTTCCTGTGAATAGGATCCTACACCTTTCCAGTAACAGCAGCACACTTACAACAGCTCAAAAAAGCCTTTCAGAGATAAAAGAAGCAAAATTCCAGTTTGCAGTGCATAAAAAAAAAAAGTTAAATCTGAGATAATCTATTAGCAAACAGTTCATGCAGAAAAACTTACTTTGTGTGGTACATAATGCAAAAATCAGCATTTACAGAGCTGGGCCACTTATGCTGTTGTTAATTGTTTATAATAAAAAGCATTGTGTCTTAACTAAGGCTTGACATCAGGATGAGTGAATATTGTAGGCTGTGGAATAACAGCTCTGCATGATAAATACACAGGGGTGAATGTCAGGGATTTGGAATTTTGTGTGTAGGCCATCTGTACATATGTTGTGGGAAACTGGAACAGTTTAGGGGGGGAAAGTTACATGCACAGTGTTTTGGTATCTAAAATATTTCAAATATAGACAGGAATATTAGACTAAGGCCATTGCTTATTTTCTGCTATGCCCAGCTGTGTTCATTATGATCTACCTGATATGATACTGGTGGCTCTTTGTTCTTAGCTCAGATTGCTTTTATCCAAGACGTGGGGAGGCTGCCACTGAAAAGACATTTTGGGAGGTAAGCTGAACTTGTGTCTGCAGTTAAAAAGTGAGACTGTGTCATATATGAAAGGGAAGAACCCTTTCATTACATAAGTCTGTGATGTGACATTCAAAGACAAAGTATTTTTAAAGGTTTATTTAATCTGAAATCAGATAGCTGCACTGATTTTATCTGGTAGTAGTTTTGCCTGTAAGGCCACTCAGAGTGAACCTTTGTTCAGAATTCATGGTTTCTCATCAGGCTGTAGCTGCTGACTGCTGGGAACCCAGGGTTTTCCCTGTGGGGCTGCAGTGCCCTCCTCACAGGCTGCGTGTGCAGCCTCAGGTGACATGGCACGAGGAGCTCTCCTGTGACTCTTGTGGGCCCTCTGGACCCGAGACTGCACTTACCCCAGCAGAGCCTCAGCTGCACCTCTGTGGCTGTGATGCCCTGGAATTTAAAAGGTGTTTCAATTGATGAGGTTTTAGCAAAGAATCAAGTTCACAGCTGCAGTGAGACAATCTGTCATCTCCTAACTAGGATGTAGTTTGTTGAGGCATCTGACAGAGCATCTCCTGCTTATCCCCAGTGTTGAACTGTGAATTTCCAAGCTTTATTTCCCTGTTCCCCAGCTGTTGCATTAAAAGCCATTTTGGTTGTTAGTTAGGGAGGAAGGAGAGTGTCCCTGAGGGGTGTATTTCCTTCTAATCACCATGCCACAAAGTGTGAAGTTTCTCAAATTAACTGTAACTTCTTCATCCCTTTAAGTTCCCCTGCAGCATGCCGGTGGGTACTGACATTTTGTATCTGCATTAATAAGCTGGTGAGGTGTCACAATGTCTGATGCGAGGGGTGACGCCCTGGTGGCAGCACCGCCATCCTTTTCCATCTGTTCAGTAGGACAGAGAAATGCAGGGCTCCTGCTGGAGAGCGCAGTGTGTTCCTGGGCAGTGCCTCTGCCGGAGGGAATGAGGCACAGGGCTCAGGGGCTCTGGGAGCAGCCTGTGCTGTGCTCAGGGGCTCTGGGAGCAGCCTGGGCCCTGTTCAGGGGCTCAGGGGGCTCAGGGAGCAGCCTGTGCTGTGCTCAGGGGGCTCAGGGGGCTCTGAGAGCAGCCCGTGCCCTGCTCACGGTGCTCCCCGGTGCCCTGCAGGCTGCAGCTGGAGGCTCTGGGTGACAAGGACCCCGGCGTGCCCGAGCTGTCCCACGGGGATGGCGACCCCGAGGGGCTCCCCTCCAGCCAGTCCAGCGGCAGCGACCTGCCCGGCAGCCAGCCCCAGCCCGTGGCAGCCCAGGCCCTCCTGGAGGAGGAGGAACTGAGGATCGAGGAGTACGACAGCGACTGAGAGACCGCGACACGCCCCGCGCCGTGCCCGCAGCGCTGCCCAGCCGGGCGCCGGGGCTGGGAGCCAGCCCGGGCCGGCCCTGAGCCCCCGGGGAGCTCCCGGAGCCCTCCTGCTCTGCAGGGCCGGCCCGAGCCACTTCCTGCCTCTCCTGAGCCATGACACTGCCTGAGGGCGGTCACCAGAGAGAAATAAAGGACTGAAATCCGTTTGAAAGAGACTAGAGATGAGCAGTTGTCAGTCTTAAATTATTTGTATTTTTACACGTTTTAATATACTTTGCAGTCATGCAGTGTGTTTCCTGAGGACACATTCTGTAAGTTGTCAGCATTTAGAGGGTTTGTTCAAGTTCACACTATCAAAAAAACTGCTGTTTGGAAGTTGAGCCCTTCTGGAAAGAGGAGGCTGAAATTTACACCTGAAAAGTCACCGTACTGATGATGTAAAGAAAACTTCTACTGTATTCATACTGTTTTGTACTCTGACTTACAGAAGGCATAAATAAGATCTTCATGTCTTTATAAGTGGAACTAATGTTGTACCATGGATTATTTTGTATTCCTCTTGCAAAAAAATTTTCATAACTCTTTGAGGGGAAAAGGCAGCAATTAAGCACAAGTTGTGCTTTGTAGCAAGTTAAATGTATAATGTGCAGTTTTTCTCCTTGACTTGCAGTTGTGCTGGGGGAAACTGTGATCTGTGTTTGGTAACTGACACGATTGAGTGCTGTGGTTAATGCCACAGCAGAGAGGAAAAAACAGCTTTGTGTGATGCACGTTGGCATTCCTGTATTTCTTACAGCCAGTTTAGTGACAGAAAACATGTTTATCCACCCTGACCTTGGGTTTATGCTATTAAAGAGTCTGTACCTGTCCTCTCTCAAGGGACAGGTCTATCTTTTCATCTACAGCTATTGCTTAATTTTGAAGGGGGAAATTTCTCTCCTAAGTCTAAAATTCTGTTACAGCTGTACTCATTACAGGAAATCGGAATGTCTTTGGCTGTTCGTGACCATTAACCCTTTTCCAGGGTGGTTTGGATGGGCTGTTCCTGGGGTGCCTCCAGCACAAGTAACAACCAGGCATAAAATACTGATTTCTATCATGTAAGCACACTGCCACCCTCCTTTCAGCTTTCTTTACAGTAGCACCAGGTAACTGCAGCTGCTGTGGTGGCTTTCCCTTGTTAGGGCAGAAATCAACGCTCACCTGGCCAATCCCACCTGGCACTGTGAGCTACAGTGTGCAGAGCTGCCCTGCAAAACCTCTGTCACCTGCAAACACCACCTGGGCACACACACAACCCCCACTGCTCTGTCTGGAGCCTGAGTGCTCTGCAGTGCCCAGGTAACAACACAGCAGATGAGGCTGAGGCTGGGCTGGCAGCAGGGGCAGGGCAGGAGCAAGAGTCAGTGCAGCCCCCTGCCATCTCAGCTCTTCACTGTCCCACCTGCGAGCTGGGCAAAGAGGAGAGCTGGGCTTCACACCGGGGTGAGAGGTATCCCCAGCTGGGGGCTCTGTACAAACCCCAAACAGGACAGGGCTGCTGGGAACGTGCCTGGAGCTGTTTGATTTCCCAGCATCAGCCTCATTCCATGGCCATGGCAATGGGAAGATGCCACCAGCTCACATCCCAGGCAGCAGACACAGAACTCAATGTCACAACTCACTCTAGGAGTTTTTTGGCCAATCCCACAAAGCAAAAGCACATTGACAGTGTTTATATCTGTACAGTAAATATTCTATATTGACAGTAGTTCTGTCCAATCACTATAAGCACAGGTACCTGTGGTTAAACAGTGCTTGCTTATTTCAAATACAATACCTGCTTGTGAGCCTTCAAACACAATGCACAGAGCTCCATTATTAAGCTTGAACTTCCTAATATCTTGCTAGATAAACTTTCTGTAGCTTAGGGAGTTATTCTAGACAAGTGTTAATACACAGACCATTGCTCTATTTGTCCTTTTCCACTTTTTACATAATTTTTCTGCTGACCAATCTCATGGCTGCTGCTTAGCTCCAATCACAGTTCTGCTGTCTCTGGGGCCTGCCTTTTGCAGCTTTCCCAAAACCCTCTGATTTTGTGCATTCCCACAATAGGACCTGGGGGTGCTGGCCAGCAGGGGCTGAGCACGAGCCATCAGTGTGCCCAGGTGTGGTGGTGTTCTCAGGGGTCCCAGGACGAGGGAGGAGATGAGAATCTTGACTCCATGTTCCAGAAGGCTGATTTATTATTTTACGATACATATTACATTAAAAGAAAATTATATACTAAAACTATACTAAAGAAAAAGAAAGCATTTCATCGGAAGGCTAGCAAAGGAAAGAAAAGAATGATAATAAAATCTTGTGACTGCTCACAGCCTCAACACAGGTGGTCTCTGGTCATCAAGTAAAACCAATTTCACATGCTGCGTAAACAATTCTCCAAATCACATTCCAAAGCAGCAAAACACGGAGAAGCTGAAGTTTCCCAGCTTCTCAGGAGAAAAGATCCTAACAGAAGGAATTTTCATAAAATACGTTCTTGACACCCAGGTGGCCAAGAAGGGCAATGGCTCCTGGCCTGGCTCAGGAATGGTGTGGCCAGCAGGAGCAGGGCAGGGATTCTTCCCCTGTGCTCAGCACTGGCTGCACCTCGAGTGCTGTGCCCAGTTCTGGGCCCCCAGTTTAGGAAGGCCATGCAGGGGCTGGAGCGTGTCCAGAGAGGGGCAGCAAGGCTGGGGAGGGCTCTGGAGCACAGGTCCTGTGAGGAGCAGCTGAGGGAGCCGGGGGTGTTTATCCTGCACAAGAGGAGGCTCAGGGGACACCTCCTCACCACCTGCAGCCCTGAAAGGTGGCTGTGCCCAGGTGGGGCTGGGCTCTGCTCCAGGTGGCGCGGGCAGAACCAGAGGACACGGCCCGAGCTGTGCCAGGGGAAGGTCAGGCTGGCATCAGGGAAAAATTCTTCACTGCAAGAGGGGTTGGGCACTGGGATGGCTGCCCAGGGAGGAGTGGAGTCACCGTCCCTGGAGGGGTTTAACAGAGCCTGGACGTGGCACTCGGTGCCATGGTGCAGCTGATGAGGAGCTGCTGGGTCAGAGCTGGGACTTGATGGTCCCAAAGGTCTTTGCCAACCTGGCTCATGCTGTGATTCTGTGATTTAGGAACATCCCCAGAAGGAAAGGTGCCTGTGCTTTCTGGGTGTGATCAGAGAGCTGAAACTGCTCTGGGTGCCTTTGGGGAGCCCCATGGCTCACACTGGAACCACTCAGTGTGCTGTTTGTGAGGTCCCCAGGATGAGGTGAGAGATGAGAATCTGACTCCATGTTCTCAGAAGGCTGATTATTATTTATATTATATTACATTATATTACATTATATTACATTATATTATATTATATTATATGCTATACTAAAATTATACGAAATTAAAAGAGAAAGGATACACCAGAAGGCTAAACAAGAATAATAATGAAAGCTTGTGACTGACTCGGAGTCCAACACAGCTGGCTGTGATTGGTCATTAAATTAAAACAATTCACATGGAACCAACCAAAGATGCACCTGTTGGTAAACGATCTCCAGACCGCCTTCCAAGCAATCAGGTAATTATTGTTTTCATTCTTTTCTGAGGCTTCTCAGCTTCCCTGGAGAAGAAATCCTGGCGAAGGGATTTTTCAGAAAATATCATGGTGACAACCCAGCTCTATCTCCATGTGAAGCTGTGCCTGGGGGTGGGCTCGGGGCTGCCCCTCACAGGGCACCTCGGCCAGGGTTAGGGACAGGACACACAGACACGGATGCAGGTGGCTCAGAGCAGCAGGGAAACACAACAGTTAAACACAAGGAGCAGAATTTTCCTTCTTCCCCCGATGCTGTGGGGACCAATGTCCTGTTGTGATGTCACCTGTCGCTGACATATTTTATGAAAAATCCTTTCCTTAGGATTTTTCCTCTTGAGAAGCTGAGAGGCCTCAGGAACAAAATGTAACCAATGGTTATCTGCTGCTGTGGAATGCAACAGATAGGTCTTTGATTGGCTCATGTTGGTTGTTTTTAATTAATGGCCAATCACAGTCAGCTGGTTCAGACTCTCTGTCCGAGACAGAAGCTTTTATTACCATTCCTTCTTATTCTATTCTTAGCTAGCTTTCTGAAGAAATCCTTTCTTCTGTTCTTTTAGTATAGTTTTAATGTAACATATATCATAAAATAATAAATCAGCCTTCTGAAACATGGAGTCAGATCCTCGTCTCTTCCCTCATCCTGGGTCCCCTGTGAACAGGGGCTCACCTGCGGGTGGAGGGTGGCAAACCAAGTGTGTGACAGTGACATCCCTGGGGGCTGCGTTGTGATGTCACATCCCTCCCTGGCTGTACTGGGCACTGGCAGGGCGAGCGTGGCTCCAGCCTGGCTGCTGCCAAGCGAGGCTCTGGAGAGTGGAGCCAGGCGTCTCCTGGAGCCGTGGGCTGACACTGGGCTTCCCTGCCCGTGTCCCGAGCCCTGCCTGGCGCTTGCAGCACTGCAGGTGAGCCCCGCGGGGATGCTCCCCGTCCCCACAGGCTGGCTGCGCTCGGGGAGCAGCGAGGGTGTCCTCTGGGGCCTTTCTTCCTGCCCTGCATGCCCCAGCACAGCCAGCGTGAAATAAATAGGGCACGAGATCTTTCTCGTTTTTAATGCATTTATTAAAAATCAGCTCGGGTGGGAAGAATCGATGGTTTGCACTCACACCGCCGCTGCTCCCAGGAGTGACTCGTCGGGGGAGGAAAACTGCAGCTTTGTCTGCTGGTCTGCGGGGAGAGCTGGGGCTTCTGTCCTCACGAGATTCCTGGTTTTCCAGTTTGACATTCGAGGTCCTCTTTCTAGCCGACATCTTTTAGGTTAGGGTGAGGGGTAAAAAGGGTCTCAGCAGACACTGGATTCTGTTCCTCACGTCCAGACATCACTTCGATCCATCAATTTCATGTTGGCTCATTGTTTTTAGGGGTTTTTGCTAGGTTTGGTGAGGGTTGTCCCCTCCTCTTCATCGTCCCGGGTGCCATCCTCCAGGAAGCAGCAGGCAGGGTGTTACTCGACAAAAAGGGGAATTCCCAACCATCAACAACAGGTAGTTAACGAAAAACTATTAACAACAGCTGATTACAACAACAAACAGTTAGAACTCCACCCTGGCAGCAACTGGCCCAGCCTGTGAACTCTGCATCCTTTTAAAAAAATGGGCAACTCTTCTACTCATAACACAGAGCCCACGGCCTCTCTCCATTCCGCAGTGTGTGACATGCTCTGGAAGCGCTACAGAATCCCAGAATCGCCAACGCTGGAAGAGACCTTCGAGACCCCCAAGTGCAGCTGTGGGCCCAGCACCGCGGCCGGTGCCAGCCATGGGGAGCGTGCTGTCCTTGTACCTCTCTGCAGCCCCGCCGGCCAACAGCAAGGCCACGCAGACGGACTGGAACTGCCCGGTGTGCCACAGCGTGGAGGGCGACACGGCCGCCGTGCCCTGCGGCCACCAGTTCTGCCTGGGCTGCCTGCTGCGCCACACGGCCGGCAGCGCCACCTGCCCGCTGTGCGCCAGCCCCGTGCTCAGCGCCCGCTTCTCCGTGCTGGGCCGCAACGATTTCCTGCAGTGCCTGCTGAGCCCGGCCGCAGCGCCGCCGGGGCCCGCCGGCTGGGCCCGCCGTGCCCTGTTCCGCCTGGTCTACACCGGCCCGGCCGCCCCGCGGGCAGCGCTGGCCCCGGCTGAGCCGGCGGGCGCGGAGGCCGAGGAGGAGTTCCCGGTGGAGCTGTGGGCA